CTGCTCACCTGTTCCATCGTGGGCTTGGGCGCCTCCTGCTGCTGCCTGCCTGCCTGCCATCTTAACACAGGCCTGACCTGACTGAACCCAACCCATCATCACTGATGAGAGGCATGGGGAGGGGAGCAGACGCCATCTCCATAGCCCCCGCACCCTCAGGGACAGCACAGTGTCTCTGCTCCCTGCCCCCCCGCCCACCTCCCATCCTGAGCCCCATTTCCTGCTGCAGCGATGTCACCCTTGCTCTATCTTCCTCTCACAGCTTTTTCCTCTAAGTCTCATGCTTTCCCCAGTCCTGGGGCCCCTGTTTCACAGTTTCCCAAACAGCTTTAGAGCTGGGAAGGGGATCAGAGCCGTGAGTTGAACATTCCCAAAACGGCATCCTGTGAAACAATGGTCCCCTAAGATCTTCCACAGTCAAACTGGAGAGTCCCACCGGCACCCAGGGAGCTGTACACTGCCGCCTGCTGGCCGTGTGAGACCCCAGAAGTCCCGAGACTCTCGTGTGCCTACTGTGTGCTCTGTGATTCTCCAAAAGCTTCTGCACGGAGCAGCTAACATCTCCTGTTTCTAACGCTTGGGAAATGATGATTAGATCACTTCTCTCCCGTGACACATGGAGTTGGTTCGTCCATCTCTGCCTTCAAAGCCTCTAGACGCTGGAGGCCCCGAGCCCCTAGGCGGAACAGCCACATCTGGATTTTCGTGGCTCTCAGCAGAGAAGGACTTGCTGCTCCAGGTCAGGCTGCCAAGCCACCAGCCTGCTGGCCCCGGGGCCTGGGCTTGGCCTGCCTTTGGCTCCCTTCCTCCCACACCTGAGTCCGGCCTGGTTCCCTGTGGAGGGCTAGGAGTCACCCCAAGTCTCTGTCCCGCAGTTCAACAGAGTAACTCCCAAGGAAGGGGTGCAGTGCAGGGAGGGATCAGAATAAGGGTGGAAAAGAGCTTTTGGCTTTCCCAAGTGACTCCTGTGCTTTCATTTAGCTAAGCTGGGGTCAGATCCTAGACAGCCTAGGATCCCAAGGATGGGCAGAGAGAAGCCAGGCCGTTTTCTCTATGGGCTGCAGCACTAGCCAGGTGGTCCAGAGGGCTGCTTCACGTGGCCGTGCCAGTGCAGTTCTTCCTAGAACTAGAAGACGAAAGCTCACAAACAGCCAGTTTCTGACCACGTTACATACCCACTACCACAGCCTCACCCCAGTGCTGGGCTGCAGAGGCTTCCATGGGAGAAAGTTCAACACACACTGAGGACAAACCCCCAGGGTCTTCTAAGACATCAAACTGAGGGCGAGGCACAAATAGGGCTAGGCTGGGACAAAATGTCTGCTAAGGAGCTGGGGGGCTGTTGGGCCCTGCCCACCTTGGGTGTACAGGAGATGAGGCAGGGCAGCTGCGGCCCTGGGCCCACTCCCACAGCCCACCTTTGCCATGCAAGGTGCTGCTGGGCGCTCGCCTCAGGCTGCAGCCTAATGACGCCTTTCACTTTCCCTGCTGGACTTTCGATAAGGAAACTCCTGGTTTCCCTACGTAGAGGCTGGGAACTGCCGCAATGTCCCCAGGGAGGCCTGTGAGGGCCGCTGGCCGCCAGCCTGCACTCAGGGACTCTGCTGAAGGGGCTCATCTGACCACACTTGACCTCTCTTTCCCAGTGAGGAAAATGAATGGAGCACACCCTGATTCATCCAATGGGGTGTGTTTCACCGCCTCAAGTGTCCCATGAGCAGAGGGACAAGCAAAGGCAGGGGACAGCTGTGGGCTGCATCACAAAGGCAAGGTGCCTGCCATCAAGTGGACGTGACAGTCCTAGGGACCCATGGAGCCCAGCTGGGCCTGTTGGGGGGGCAAGGCGGGCTGGGCTGTCACAGATAAAGGTATGGAAGACTGACGTGTCAGGCCAGCAGCTTGCTTTATGGGCATGATCTCATCCCTTCGCTCTGCACCACCTCCGCCCGGCCCCTGTTGATAAGGATCTGGGGCTGTTTCCTGTAGTCCAAGGGTCTCAGACAATGGTGTGAACGGCTGGGCCCACTGGAAAGGACATTGTTCAGAGAAGAAAAAACAACATCCCAGCACAAAGCCAGGGCAGGAGCTGTCTAAATGCAGGGCCTGTTTACAAATCCATGATTTCCAAGGGGGAGGAACACAATGGGGGATTGTTTTGGCGGGCTGGTGTCCCCTCCAGTGTGCTCCAGGGAGCTGGAAGCAGCTTTGATGGCCCAGACAGATCTCAGATGCTCTGAGAGGGAAGGACACCAATGGCGCGGATGCCTTCCTGTTTCTCAGAGGGACACACGGACCGAGGTCAAGAAGCCACTGACACTACATTCAGGGGGAGGGGGTCTATCCACTCAGGCCTCGTGCTGCCTCACTGCTCACGGACCCCAGGGTTACAAGGGGGTTTCCTAAGGAGAAGTGAAGGCAAGGTTTTTGTTTTTCATTTTGTGAAAGCTACAACTTGGTGGGCATTTGGGGCAGCGGTTAAGATGCCCCTTGGGAAATCTGCATCCCATATCAGAAGTGCCTAGTTTGAGTTCTGGCTCCTTCTGTGTGTGATCCAACATCCTGCTAATGCATATCCTCGGAGGCAGAAGATGATTCCTCAGTAGTTGGGTCCTTGCCACCCATGTGGAAGACCCAGATTGAATTCTGGGCTCCTGGCTTCAGCCTAGGATAGCCCTGGCTGTTTCAGCCATATGGGGACTGAACAAGCAGGTAGAAGACATCTTTCTTCTGTCTCTTTGCCTTTCAAATAAAACAAGAAAATAAACTTTTTTTTTTTTAAAAAACAGAGAAACATCAGGGTGGGTGTTGTTGTGTAGGGGGTTTAGCCACTATTTACAATGCCTGCATGCCAAACCAGAGTGCTGATTCAAGCCCTTGCTACTCTGGGCTTCTGATGCAGTTTCCTGCTAATTTGCCTGGGAGGCAGCAGATGATGACTCAAGTACTTAGGCTCCTGCCACCCACGTGGGACATCTGGATGGAATTCCTGGCTCCTGACTTCAGCTTGGCTCAACCCCAGTTGTTGTAGGTATTTGAGGAGTGAAAGAGCTGATAAAAGCTTGCTCTCGCTCTCTTGCTCTCCCTCTCTCCTTCTCTCTGCACTTCAAATAAATTAATCTTAAAAGAAAAAGGAAAATATCAGCTCTTCAGTTTTTGGCCTCTAACTGCTCTGTTGCTTTTGAGGGGAAAATGTGCAGGGAATGAGACCTTGGCAAATAGTTGGGTCTTTGAAGTGGAACTCCTGGCTTGGTTACCAATGAACCTCCTCACAGAGGCTCTGATGAGGCTGGGACTCACCTCCAGCCCTGCTGGGAGCACACAGGGAGCTGACACGCTGTCCCTGGGCTCAGGGCCATGGAAGTGCAATTTTCATTGCAAGCTCCCTCCCTTCCCACAGAGGTAGAACCTTTGAACCACACCGAGAGGCCCTGATGTTAGTTACTGTGCGTGTGGGCATATGGCTGGGTGTATGTGTGCATATGGGTGTAAGTGTGTCTATATAGGTGTGTGCATATAAGTGAGTGTGTGTGCTGGAAGCATGAGGCAGAATAGGAACAGAACCGTATCACATATTCCCTTGGGACTGGCATCTGCCATTTTTGGTAGAGGAGTGGGTAGCTGGGTATGAGAAGGCCACTTGGGGTCTGCAGAGGGAGACTATGAAGATGGGCTGTCTGAGGATGTGACCTGCAGTGGGAAGTCCAGCAGCTTTTTTTTTTTTTTTTTTTGACAGGCAGAGTGGACAGAGAGAGAGAGAGAGAGAGAGAGAGAGAAAGGTCTTCCTTTTGCCGTTGGTTCACCCTCCAATGGCTGCCGCGGCCGGCGCGCTGCGGTCGGCGCACCGCGCTGATCCAATGGCAGGAGCCAGGTGCTTCCTCCTGGTCTCCCATGGGGTACAGGGCCCAAGCACTTGGGCCATCCTCTGCTGCACTCCCTGGCCACAGCAGAGAGCTGGCCTGGAAGAGGGGCAACCGGGACAGAATCCGGCGCCCCGACCGGGACTAGAACCCGGTGTGCCGGCGCCGCAAGGCGGAGGATTAGCCTAGTGAGCCGTGGCGCCGGCCCCAGCAGCTTTTATGCTTGTCTCTAAATCCAGCAGGAACACATCTACTAAATAAACTCAAACGGATGTGTTTAGAACAAGTGAGGAGCAGTAAGTCCTATGCAATTCCAAAACAGATGAAGCTTTTCATAGCCTGTTCAAATCTTCCCAGTCTAAGAGGTCGCAATTCTTTTCCTCAATGCACTCACAGTGCCCTCTGGTGTTTGGCAGCAAAACAACAGGCATGTGAATAGGTCCAAGCTTATCTACAGAATTAGCAGAAGTCAAACTATCACTGAAGGTGAGGTCCTGGGCCAGGCACCGAGGGGAAGAAAGGCTAATAAGACCCAATCAGACAGACAGTGCCCTGCCTGTAAGGGGCTGTCAGCACAACTGGAGGTCAGACAGAAGGAGACATGCTGTATGGGTCACAAGCAGAGGCCAAAGAGTGGCCAGGGATGACGAAGTGGCCCTTATGCTAGGTTCAATAGACTGAGGATGGGAGGGAGTTAAGCCAGTATTCCTGGGTGGCCAGGGAGAGGGCCAGTGGGTGATGTATCCTGGAAGATGCAGTCAGCTTGACAAGAAAGAGGGCAGCTGAACAGAGAGTGAAGCAGAGGGAAATTCTAGCATTTTTGGTCTTAGTTTATGGTAAAGGTAGGGTTGGAGAAAGGGAAACAAGTACTTTGTGGACTGCAGGTGGTGACTTCCGTCCAAAAGGTACAGTACAGTATGGAAGGCAGAAAAAATGGCTTTACAGTGAAAAAAAAATCCTCAGTCAGATGATGAGAGCTATCAACAGCAGTGGCAGCTTGTGTTCACAGCATGCGACTTGAGTATCAGGTGCTGGAAACAGTGCTTTACCTGCATGGTCTCCCTCCCCCAAACCCCTAGCATCCAGTCTAATCATGAGGCAAACACCACACAAGTCCCAACTGAACGACCCTCTACAAAATACCTGACTAGTTCTCAAAAGCTTCAAGGTCATCAATAGCAAGAGAAGTCTGGCAAACTCAGCGCCAAGAGGAAGGTAGACATGGGATAACTCGGTGCAGTGTGGTGTCCTGCAACAGAAAAGAGACCTCCGGTAAAAACCAAGAAAATCTGGACAAAGTATGGCCTTCAGTTAATAATCATGTATCAGGGCCAGTGCTGTGGCTCAGCGGGTTGTCTCCACCTGTGACGCCAGCAGCCCATATGAGCACTGGTTCCAGTCTCAGCTGCTCCACTTCCTATCCAGCACTCCTGTATTGTAATGTACCCACACAGGAGACCAGGGCACTCACTTCAGCCTGGTCCAGTCCTGGCCATCGTGGCCATCTGGGGAGTGAACCAAGGTATGGAAGCTTGCTCTCTCTCTCTCTCTCCATCTCTGTAACTCTGCTTTTAAAATAAATAATGAATAATAAATCTTTTAAACAAATCATAATATCAATATTGATTCATTAGTTGTGACAAATTTACTGTACTAACTTCAGATGCTAGTAAAGGGGCAAGGGTTATGGTCTAACAGGTGAAGCTGCCACCCACAACAATGGCATCCATTATGGGTGCCGGTTCAAGTCCCAGCTGCTTGACTTCTGATCCAGCTCCCTGCTAGTGGCCTGGGAAAGTAGTGGAAGATGGCCCAAGTTCTTAGGCCCCTGCACTCACATGGGAGACCCAAATGAAGCTCCTGGCTCTGGCTTGGCCAAGTCCAGGCCGTTGCAGCCATTTGGGGAGTGAAACAGTGGATGGAAGACCTCTCTCTCTCTCCCTTTCCCTATCTTCCCACTTTCTCTCTCTGTGCATCCATTAACTCTGACTTTTAATAAATAAATCCTTTAAAAAAAAAAAAAAGATGTTAGAGGAGGAACTGGGTTTGGGATACAAGGGACTCTGTACTAACTTACATTTTTTCTGTAAGTGAAAACTATTTAGGCCCAGAGGAAGAAAGAACTCCAGTGTGGGCTTTCTGGCCTACAAGAATGGAGTTGGCCATTAACATCAATGGGGAGTAAAAAGATACAAAGTGAGACACAGCAGGGGTGTGCCCATGAACAGATACTGTGCTGCTTGTAGGCAGGTGCTGAATGTCTGGGTTACTCAGTCTCTCTCCTGTCACAAGTTCCACTCTCCACCCACTGACATGGAGGTCGCCCTTCCTACGAAGGCAATGATACCAACACAGATGCCTAAGGATATGTCTGGTTACGGAAATTCTAGGTTAAGAAGCCAACGTCTCCAAGAAGGGTCTTTCAGTTGTGCATTATCACTGCAAGAGTTAACAGTCTACAGTCTTTCTTGTCACTTGCAGTACTGACCAAATCTCCTTAGATGCCCAGGGGAGGAAGAGTAGCATTGAGTTGCCATACCTGTTAGCGAGAAAATGAATAAAATGGGCACAGTTGAGGGGAGCCTTGGAGTGACAGGTGTGCAGGAAACCAAGGGCAAGCCCGCTCACAAGCAGGCTCTAGAAGTGCATCACAGCTTGTGAGAATTGTATTTCAAGGCTTTTTATTGATCATTTGCAACACTGGGCAAGAACTAGCAATAGTACATAGAAAAAAAAAAAAAAGAGGCAGTTATTACTTCAGGGGGAAAAAACCCAGTATGGAGGAGGAACGGTAATCACAGTGGATGACCTGGCTCAGTAGACAAGTTTTGCAAAGTCATGGTGACCTAAACAATGAAAGTTAATCTAGTAAAAATTGTGATGAGACTATGTGGTGGTGCAAATGAAAATGGGAAGGCTCTCAAGGTGCTAAATCTTTGTGACGCAATGAAAAGTCAATCATGTCAGACAAGTAAACCAAACATGGCTAAAATAAATGGAAAGTGGACGCACTAAGGGACTAGGCCTAGAAGTAGGCATGGGTAAGACTGGGCTTCATCACAAGCCTTTGTGGCAATATTAGACATTTCAAAGCAGTGTTACTTTGCTTGCCTACTTTGATAACAACAAATACCTTCTGCTTGATTCCTAGTGAATGTGATCAGAGCTGAAGGCACCACTGTGGACACACTGGATCCAAGTCTGCAGGGCCTGGCAATGCTTGGAAGGAGAACCCTGTCCCTGTCCTACACCACTTGTGACAATGACTCCATGAAACCCGGACAACTCGGTAGCTGGCAGTGATTCTGAGCTCCTCCCACTAGCCCAAATCCCATGACATTATTAAAAACATGCAAATTTAAGATATGCTCAATTCAGTTTCTCCTGAGGCCTTCTGCCAGGCTCCTCACCCAGCTGCCTGCCTAATGTCAATGTCCTCGCATGTAAATTTAAAGTTATACTCTGGACAGAAACGCTCAAGCCACCAGGCAGTGAGAGTCTGAGTGGCCTCCTCGTGCCGCGGAGGTTCTGTGGAATCCTGTCTGCCCTCTCCAAGCATGACAGTCCCTGGCCTGCTTGAGTTCAGGGCCCCAGGCCTTGTGACAAGGGCCCCTTCACTGTCCAGTGTGGACTGCTACACTGCCCACCTCCATGGTGAGAAGCTGCGGACTTATTTGCACAAAGATCAAAGTCTTTGCCCCCGAGATGTCGGTTTTCCTGGAAATTGATTCTCCCCACAAAGAACATCTGTGTTTGAAGTTGGAAGTTCTCTATCAAGTCACTGAATTTTATGGATCAGAAAGGCGAGTTTTCTTATTTCCTCCCTGATCCCTCCAGATTCCTTAGCATGCTAGACAAATTCCAGACTGAGTTTATAAGGAGACACCAATGGAGAGAAAACCTTTATTTGCATAATAACAAATGTGAGTGAAGTAAGAAGAGGCATCCGAGAACCGGACTGAAGTGGACGCTTCTTGTGGGCGAAGAGCAACAGGGCTCTCTGGGAATCAGAGAGCACAGAGGCACACTGATGGCCACAAACAGGTCCCTCTATCGGCGTCTCCACCCTGCTCGCACCCCACGTTCCCCTGGGACTTCCTCGGCTCCTGGTGTCACTTCTGGCCCCCTTTCCTCGGCTCCTAGTCCCAAAGTGCCCCTCCCCCAGACCTGATGGAGGAGTGCAGCGGCGTACCCAAATGTATGTGGCAGCAACCGCATGAGCAGCTACTTGGATTTTTTGCCACTCCTAGGGATTTTAACACCCTTGGACCTTCTCCTGCCAGAGGATTCTGGCTTTTCTAATACAGAAGGTTCTGACCAATCAGTCCAAGAGGGGCCTGGGTTCTCTTCCAGGCTGCTGTCTCTGCAGAAGTGTTCCTCAGGGTGGAAGGCGCTGCTGCAGCAGGGGACATCACCTGAGTTTTCAGGTGTGCAGTCTGTGGTGAAACAAAGGTGGGGAAGGAAAACTCAACCTTCCGCCTCTCCCAGGTGCAAGGTGCTTAAGCCCCTCCCTGACCACTTTCCTTGTAAAGCTAAAGGTGCTAATAGTGACCACGTGGGGGCATGCTGCCTCCTCACCCTCACCCCAGTTTAGGCCAGACCACCTTTGTGCATCTCACCTGTGCCTGAAGCAGGTGAACATTCCTCACATTCCCATTTCTTACTGTTGGGTTTGAGAGCTGAGCAGCCCCTGTGGGTTCCACGGGATCCGCAGGTAGCACACAGAACGAGGCACCACCTCCTACAGGAAGAGCCAAGGAAAGGACTTGAGGGCAGACAGACACTATCCACCACGCTGGGCCCTCCTCTGCTGTGCTGAGGGCATCCTGGGCACCTTTTACTGTAGTTTACCCATCACAGAGAGAGCCCGAGATCCCAAGATGTGCAGTCAGCCACAGCCCCATGCAAGTGGCTGCGGAAAGAAACCGGCCCTGAGCGTCTCCCCACTGAGCACGAGAAGAAAAGCAGACCCTGCCAAGGACACCTGTTCACTTGCCCATGAGTGTTAGGGGCCGGTCAAGAACCGGACTTAGCTACTGAGGTTCACCCTGCGCTGTGCACACTGGAGAGACGGTCTTGCTCCTGATACTGTGCCAAAGTCCAACTCCAAGATGAGAGCTCTTCCTAGCCAGGAGCCGCTCCCTACCCTTCATCCTCAAAGCTGTCTCTGCCTTGCTCATACAGACAGGCGGGGGCATCACAATGCTGATAGCGCTGATATAACTCCGAGAAAGCCCCTGGCTCAAGCTCCCAGGCAGCATCTCTGCAATGGGAGAAGAAACAGTGAATAAGGAACACGTGCGTGCACTAATGGGCTGCTGATGCCTCTGTCCGCCAGGGAGGAAAGAGGAAGCACAGCGGCATGTGGGGCTTCGTCCCACACCCGAATTCAAGACCCAGGCCCCATGTCAGAAACAGGCCTCCTGCCCACCGGCTTCTCCTGACTATGAGCCGCACTCCCTCCGCCCCTCCATCTTCACTGTGTATCAGTCCTCTGCTCTTCTCGGTCTAGCCTCCCACCTGTGTCCTGTCGAACTAGGCAAACCACCCCATGGTGAAGTCCTGTTGTTTCCGCTACCTGTCTGGAATATGAATCCCCATTCTTAGCATTTCTTGGGGAAACTCTTCTCGATTGTTACACTGTGGACATTTGAAGAAATGCTTTGCTGATGTGTGGGCATATTTCTGTAAGAAAAAACAAGAAGACCTTTGTGCACGTAGAAACACTTTGACCATCTTTCCACTCCCTCCTGCACTCTATAAAGAGGATGTTGCCAAGACAGCTGAACTTGGGGTACAGGAAAAGGTGTTTGGGTGGGATGGAGGAGAGTGCAAATCCAGGTGTCAGACTTGGGACCACAGTACTAGCAAGAGAACTCGTGGGAGTGCTTCGGCTGGCCTCGCTAGCCATGGTGCTTGGCAGCGCTAAGCAGGGGTCAGGTACCTGGAGATTTGGCTCCCTTTCTTTCATCCCGGGAAGCAAGGCTGATTGAGGCTCCTTGGCTCATTCTTGGATGAGTCCTTTTGCTCTAGCAATGCTGCAGATTTGGTGACTATTATCTTGAGTGAGGGCTTACAGACCAACGATGGCCAGAAACTAGACTCACTTTAACTGCCTGGAACCAGCCCACATGAAGTTCTCCAGCACAGAGTGCCGAAGCTATAGTGCGTCTGAGCATGCCCGGGGGCCCTGGTTCCAGGGCGGAGACGGCCCCACCTGGATGCACTTGCGGTGGTAGACAGCTTGACTGCAACACGGGCTCTGGATGTTCTCAACACTCGTCTGGGATAAATCTTCACAACACAAGACACAGCTCTCCTCCCTCACATTCTCCCGATGGATGTCCTGTGTTGGGCGATGTTTTCCACAAAATGATCTATGGAAGGGTAAAGACGCTTGTTTTTCTGGCTTGTCATTTGTGTAGTTTCTCAGCTGCCCAGCCTCAGAAGGCTGTAGCCACACTCACGGGCAGCAGGAGAGGCAGAGTGGGAACAGCCACATGCCTTCTCATGGCAACTCTCCCAGGGCACAAAGCCCCCGGGACCATCTCCACAGCCTCCTGCTCCCGAAGCCTCCCTGGGTTCTGAGCAGCTGTCTAAAACCCCAGCTGTTTGTAATTTAAGGAGGGGATGATGGGAAGCAAGAAACGCCTGTGAAATCTCCAAATCAGGACTGTGTTTCCCGTTATTGAAAGGAGGGACAGAGTCACTGGTGAATCAAAACAGGACCCTGGAAACTGGACTCTGATTTCTTCAGTGGTTAAAGAGCAAATTACAAAAGGGTGGCCCGACTTTTCCCCTTTCCTCACTCACTTGTACTCTCCAAAAAATTGTGAAAGGCAACCCCTTTCTTGGCCACAAGGCAGATGGAAGTTCCTGAAGCACTGGTCCTTCTGGCAATTGATGGCAGCTCCCTTTTTCTTGCACACAAAGCAGACCTGCAAATGAGATCCTAGATAGTGCTCAGGGCTCCAGGAAAGGACAACAGACAGCTTGTGGCACATCTAAGGAATGCAAACGCTCTGCAGCAACAGCCATTCTCTTTCCTCAGTGGTCCTGAATTATGTTTGCTTTCCCGTCATGTCCCTCTCCTCACTTAAGACTCAACACTGCAGAGTGGAGGACTTGAGAAGGGCCCCTTGGGAAAGCAGAGTCCTTTGACTTCTAAATGGGCAATGAGGGAAAAGAACAGAATCAGGGACAGTGACGGAGATGTGACAAGAGGCCTATCCCAAAGGCCCTGTAGTGGGGGACTCTAACCTTCCTAGAAGCCCGGATTGCCTCTTTCTTGATGTCTTCAGGCAGGAATCCATGGAACCCTCTGTTGGACTGGCCCCTCTGAGGCAGCTTGCTAGATAGGATCTGGGGGTGGGGAGGGCAGAACCAGGTGTCAACGCTGATGACCAGAGAGACAGCACAGGGGATGAGGCAGATGAGGGAGAGACCGATAACAAACACAGCTGGGTGGAATTTATCCGCACTTACAGGGTAGCTTACTTCATGAAGGTTTCTGTGATACCCAGTGTTGGGTACTCTAAGTGCTTCTCAAGTATTACCTCCATGCATCCTCCTAACAACCCCAGGAGGCAGGCACCACTCCCCTCGTTTCACAGGAGCTATGGTGTGACCCGCTGATGGGCCACAGAGCTCCAGAACCTGAACTCTGACAGCCTTTGTGTTATGCTGCTTCTCATTTACCAAGGCCTCCTCCTGTGTGCCAAGCACTTTGGGGAAACACTTCTCCTGCACTGACTCATTTTATGCTCACCACAACACTATCTACAGATGCTGCTGTGAACTTCATCTTACAGAGCAGGCCATTGAGATGCAGTGCGGTGACCTGGATGGGGCCATACAGCAAGGAGGAGCAGAGCTGGCCTTCATACTCAGGCCCACAGAACTCACACTCCTACCTCTCCTAAAAAATACTCAGAGTGCTATGGAAGGGAAGCAGGGCTTCGAAATCTCCCGACTGTAGTCATCCTGCATTGCAGGGGAGGGGAAGGAATTGCACTTTCCTTTCAAAAACACATTTTTATTTTGTTTCTGAAAAGTGCCCAAAGCAGAGTCTGGAATGGGAAACCAAGCATAAAAGAAGCCAAACTATTCTGTTACATACATTGGAAGAATGTCAGAACTGCATTCCCACCTCCTAGAATCATCCAAAAATAATGGGGAGGGTGCAGCACTGCCAGCAGGAGCCATATGTAGTGGGAGCTCAGGTTATTTTATTGCTGCATTACAGAAAAGACGACCCCACAATGCTAGATGACTTGAGGGCACTTGGATCATTCCCAATTATGTGTAAAACATATATGACATGCACTGTAATACTAATTATCTCAGGTCTTTAGGATTTTACATGTGAATTCTGTTTTATACTTTTAAGGATTATTTACCTTTTCTATAAGGAGTATAATTTCTACAAACAGAGGAACCAATAGTGAAAGATCAGAAACAATCTAGGTATCCTTTAATAGGTGCTTCATACTTTTTAGCATCCCTATACCAGGAAATACCAATCAGTTATTTAAAAGAAAAAGTTGGATCTATACATTCTCCATGGAAAGATGTCTAAAATCTGTGAGATGAAAAACAAAACAGGATACCAGATATGGTGTATAATATATTTATTTTTATGTTAAAATGTATTTGCTTGTAAATGCATTGAGATCAACCAAGCCCTGACACCTGGCAGGACTTACAAGAAAGGAAAGTCACAGACCAAACTTTCTCATGGGCACAGATGTAAAAATCACACAAAATATTAGCGAATTGAATACCACATCATGGCCAAGAAAGGATTACACTAGGAATGCAAGATTAGTTTAACATTAAAAAATATAGAAAACCACATTAACAAAGTAAATATCAAGATTATGTCTGTAGATGCAGAAAAAGCATTTTACAAAATTCAACACACAGTCATGATACTCCCAGTAAACTAGGATAACCTGACAAAAAGCATCTACAAAAAAACCCTACAACTAATGTTGTATTTGAACAGTGAAAAACTAGAACTGTTCCCTGCTGTTGGGAACAAGACAAGGATAATCACTCCTACCTCTTCTATCCAACATCAAGTTGAAGGTTCCAGCCAGTACAGTAAGGCAGGAAGAAGTGAAAGACAAAAATTGGAAAGAAAGGGCAGGCTCTGCGGCTCACTAGGCTAATCCTCCACCTGCGGCACCGGCACTCTGGGTTCTAGTTCCAGTTGGGTCACCAGTTCTGTCCGGTTGCTCCTCTTCCAGTCCAGCTCTCTGCTTTGGCCCGGGAAGGCAGTGGAAGATGGCCCAGGTCCTTGGGACCCGCATGAGAGACCAGGAGGCAGCACCTGGCTCCTGGCTTCAGATTGGCACAGTGTGCCGACCATAGCGGCCATTGAGGGGTAAATCAACGGAAGGAAGACCTTTCTCTCTGTTTCTCTCTCTCACTGTCTAACTTTGCCTGTCAAAAAAAAAAAAAAAAAAGGAAAGTAGCACAACTGTCTTTATTCACATATGACATGAATGCATACACAGGAAATCCTATGGCATTTATAAAAACAAAAATAAATAAAAAAACAAACTGATAAGTAAAGTTAAAGAGATAGTACAGGACACAAAGTCAATATACAAAAATATATTGCATTTTTGTATACCACCAACAAATCTGAAGATTAAATTTTAAAATATCATATACAATAGCATAACCACAAAATATTTAGGAATATACTTAAGATGTCAAAGAGTTCTTCACTAAAACTGTCAAACATTGCTATGATAAATTTTAAGAGATCCAAGTAAATGGAGAAATATATACATCCACAGATTGGAAGATTCAATATTATTTGTCAGTTCTTCCCAAATTGATCTATTAATTCAATGTAATCCTGGTAGACATTTTTTAAAAAGAAAAACTGAGATGTTTAATATGAAATCTATAAGGAAATAAAAAGGATCCGTGAGGATACAATAATCAAGGCAGTGGAGGATGGGTGTATGGAAAGACAAATGGATCAGTGACATAAATAGGTCGACTGATTTTGATGAGGCACCATGGTCATTCAATGGGCAGGCAAAGATTTTTTGGGACACACTAAAAGCACTAACCATGAAAGAAAAATCTGATAAACTGGACTTCAGCAAAATTTAAAACTTGTTCTTCAAAAGACATCATTAAGAAAATGAAACGCAAGCCACAGACTAGAAGAAAATACTCACAATACATTTATCTGAAAAAGAATTTGTTTCAAGATGAAACACCCAACTTTTAAAATGCACAAACATTTATACAGCTATTTCACAAAAGAAAATATGTGAATAGCCAAGAAGCACATGGAGAGAAGCTCAACACCTATAGTCAGCAGAAAAATGAACTAAAGTTATAACAAGATACTAACATTATAACAGAATGCCTGAAGTTAAAGACTGACAATACAAAGTTTTGGAAAAGTATTATGCAGTTGGAACTTTCATAAACTGTGGTAGTGTAAACTGGTATAACCACTTTGAAAAGCGACTTGGCAGCTTTCAAAGTTAAACATCTAGTTAGCACACAACCACTAATTTCACACCTCAGCATGTGCTCAAGAGAATACACATGTTCACAAAAAGACTTGAACATACATGTTCACAGCAGGTTTAGTCATCACAGTCCCCAAATGGAAATGATTCACCTATCCAGCAACAAGTAAACAGAGAAGCAGATTGCAACATACTCATGCAACAGAACACTACTAGGCAATAAAAAGGCACAAGCTACACTTGCATGCAAAAGTATGGATGGATCTCCAAAACCTTCTGTTGGGAGAAAGCAGCCAGATACAAAAAGTACATAAAGAAATGGACACTGATTAATTCTGGGTGACTGACTGAGAGGGGGCAAGAGGGCACTTTCTAGAATGAGGACATATATTTATGAATTTATCCAACTGTACATTTGAAATTGTGGCATTCTATAGTATGCAAAGTACACCTCGCAAAAAAATTGGGGGGGGGGGGTGTCCACCCACATGGGAGACCTGGATGAGGTTCCTGGTTCCTGGTTTCAGCCTGGCCCAGCCCTGGATGTGGGACCATTTGCAGAGTGAACCAGCAGATGGAAAATCTCTTTTTCTGTAACTCTCTTTCAAATAAATTAAACACACACACACAGGTCTAGGTGGAAAGACCCAGATTTAATTTTTTAAAAAATTAGGAAAGAAATAATTGGGAGGTCATTCCAACTGCTGATGACATTTGTTTCTGGGGAGTGGGAGAAAGATTAGAAGTATGTTTTTGGAAGATAATTTTTATTGTACATATCTTATCAGAATTTTATACCAGGTGCATATATTATTTTAAAAAAAGATTTTGAAAGAAAAAAGTTATTAAGAAAACAAACAGGGTTATGGATCTGAAGCTGAATGCAAAACCAGAAAACAGCTTGTATAGCAAAAGCCATAAGACATTCAAAGCAAAGGAGGCCTTATACTCACAAGGCAGAAATAATGCACGCTGAGATTGTCTTTCTGAAGAAATTCCCCTAACTTTTCAGGATCTCCAGGTTCTTGAAAACACAGCCGACAAACTGGAAGAGAATGTTAAGAATTCATTATAGGGGCCGGCGCCGCGGCTCACTAGGCTAATCCTCCGCCTAGCGGCGCCGGCACACCGGGTTCTAGTCCCGGTCGGGGCGCCGGATTCTGTCCCGGTTGCCCCTCTTCCAGGCCAGCCCTCTGCTGTGGCTAGGGAGTGCAGTGGAGGATGGCCCAAGTGCTTGGGCCCTGCACCCCATGGGAGACCAGGAAAAGCACCTGGCTCCTGGCTCCTGCCATCGGATCAGCGCGGTGCGCCCGGTCGCAGCGCGCCGGCCGCGGACGCCAATTGGAGGGGTGAACCAACGGCAAAGGAAGGACCTTTCCTCTCTGGCTTCTCTCTCCCCACTGGCCAACTCCTGCCTGGTCAAAAAAAGCAAAAAAAAAAAAAAAAAAAAAAAAAAGAATTCATTATAGGGGTTGGCGCTGTGGCTCAGTGGGTTAATCCTCCCGTTTGCAGTGCCAGCATCCCATATGGGCGCCAGTTCCAGTCCTGGCTGCTCCTCTTCTGACCCAGCTCTCTGCTATGACCTGGGAAAGCAGCAGCAGCTGGCCCAAGCGCTTGCACCCCTGCACCCGCGTGGGAGACTAGGAAATAGTTCCTGGCTCCTGGCTTCGGATCGGTCCAGCTCTGGCTGTTGCGGCCATTTGGGGAGTGAACCAGAGGAGGGACCTTTCTTTCTGTTCCTCTCTCTCACTATCTGTACCTCTACCTCTCAAATAAATAAATAAAATCTTTTTTTTTTTTAAATGGCCAGCATTGTGGTGCAGCAGGTTAAGTTGTCATATCAGAGCACAGGTTTGAGTTCCAGTTGCTTTGCTTCTGATTCAGCTAAGTAAAACAGTGAAAGATGACCCAATTACTTGAGCCCCTGTCACCCACGTGGGAGACCCAGATGGAGTTCCAGGCTCCTGGCTTTGGCCTGGCCCTGGCCTAGCCTCAGCTGTTGTGGCCATTTTAGGCGTGAACCAGCAGATGGAAGATCTCTGTCTCTTTCTCTATCACTCTGCCTTTCAAATAAATAAATTTTTTTTTTAAAGAAAATGGTATAGGTTTGGCTCAAACTGATCAGTAAGAACAGAAGAGAAAGATTAGGAAGTTCAGAAGGATAGAGATGCTCCTCGACTTACAATGGGGTTATATCCTGATGAATTCATTCTAAGTTGAAAATACCATGAGCAGAAAATGCATTTAAACGCACCTAACCTACTGACATCAGAGTGCAGCAACACTGTGGAGTATGGGTTGTCTACCCTTATGATCAAATACGTGACAAACTGGGAGCTGTGGCTTGCTGTCACCACCCAGCATCCGCTGAAACAGGAAAAGCAAGAGAAGAGAGTATATGGCATACCATTAGCCTGGCAGAAGATCAAATCTGAGGTAGTTTCTACTGAGTGCAAACCACTTTCACACCATTGTAAAGCCAAAGACCCCACGAGGGATTGTCTGTATGGGGAAGAGGGTCATGTTGGCAGGGAAGAGGTTGAGAGGAAGTTTTATTTGGCATCAACTAGGGTTTATTTATTTATTTTTGACAGAGAGAGAGAGAGAGAGACAGAGACAGAGAGGTCTTCCTTCCGTTGGTTCACCCTCCAAATGGCTGCTACAGCTGGCAGAAGCCAGGAGCCAGGTGCTTCTTCCTGGTCTCCCATGCGGGTACAGGCGCCCAAACACTTGGGCCATCCTCCACTGCCTTCCTGGGCCACAGCAGAGAGCTGGACTGGAAGAGGAGCAACTGGGACTAGAACCCAGCGCCCACATGGGATGCCGGTACCGCAGGTGGAGGATTAACCTAGTGAGCCACAGCGCCGGCCCCAATCAACTAGGTGTTTTTTTTGTTTTTGTTTTTGTTTTTGTTTTTGTTTTTTTTTTGACAGGCAGAGTTAGACAGTGAGAGAGACAGAGAGAAAGGTCTTCCTTTTTCCATTGGTTCACCCCCCAAGTGGCCACTATAGCCGGTGTGGTGCACCAATCCGAAGCCAGGAGCCAGGTGCTTCTTCCTGGTCTCCCATGTGGGTGCAGGGCCCAAGGACCTGGGCCATCCTCCACTGCACTCCCGGGCCACAGCAAAGAGCTGGACTGGAAGAGGAACAACCGGGACAGAATCCAATGCCCCGACCAGGACTAGAACCTGGGGTGCCGGCACCACAGGCGGAGGATTAGCCTAGTGAGTTGTGGCGCCAGCCCGTCAACTAGGTTTTTATGTAATCTTGTTCACCCTGAAGGAGTTGGCTGCAACTTCTCACTTTATAGTTTGTTTTTTTTTTTTTGCTCATCTCAAGTGGCTTTAATTACTAGTTTCTTGAACTTTGAACATGAAAATTTTAAATTACCTATGCTGAGTTCTTCTGGATTTTAGAGAATCTGGGAAGGAAGTGGGGTTGATGGTAACAGAAGCAAGTATACTGCCCCACACAGAAGGCCTTCTTCGCCCAGGTTTGGAGGCAGCAGCTGAACATAACTTCCAGTCGTTCTTACCAGGTCCTGAAGATGGCTTCTTCTGGGCTAGCCTCTTGGTCTTGGCAGATTTTCTGTACAAGAGAAAGCAGTATAAGGTGGTCTTTCAGGACCCTATTGACAACCCTTGTAACATTTCCCTTAATATGCCAGTCATAGATCTGATCAAACAATAAAATACCCAAAGGCTAAGACATCAGCTTCTTTTCTTTTTTTTTTTTTTTTTTTTTTTTGGCCAGGCAGAGTTAGACAGTGAGAGAGAGAGACAGAGAGAAAGGTCTTCCTTCCTTCCATTGGTTCACCCCCCAAATGGCTGCTACAGCTGGTACGCTGTGCCGATCTGAAGCCAGGAGCCAGGTGCTTCCTGCTGGTCTCACATGCGGGTGCAGGGCCCAAGCACTTGGGCCATCCTCCACTGCACTCCCGGGCCACAGCAGAGAGCTGGCCTGGAAGAGGGGCAACTGGGACAGAATCTGGCACCCCAACTGGCACTAGAACCCAGAGTGCTGGCACCACAGGTGGACGATCAGCCTAGTGAGCCGCGGGGCCAGCCTATTTTCATTTTTTGAAAGCACAAAGCAAAAGTGCTGAGTTATTTGAAGACAGGATTACATTGTAACTGTGTTTCTGTCCACAGTGCCTGCACTGCCTATGTTGATATTTTTACTGTTTCTTCTGCCAGCTATTCCGAATCTCAGGCAGCTCCACTTTCACAAAGCATACTAAAGCAATGCCACAGTTGACTGAGCACTGCCCATTGCTAGGCTCCATTCCTTTTTTTTTTTTTTTTTTTTTTTTTTTTTTTTTTTGACAGGCAGTTAGACAGTGAGAGAGACAGACAGAGAGAAAGGTCTTCCTTCCGTTGGTTCACTACCCAAATGGCTGCTACGGCCGGCACACTGATCCGAAGCCAGGAGCCAGGTGCTTCTCCTGGTCTCCCATGCGGGTGCAGGGCCCAAGGACCTGGGCCATCCTCCACTGCACTCCTGGGCCACAGCAGAAAGCTGGCCTGGAAGAGGAGCAACCGGGACAGAACCGGCACCCCAACTGGGACTAGAACCCAGGGTGCTGGCACCACAGGCGGAGGATTAGCCAAGTGAGCCGCGGTGCCAGCCAACAGGGCACTATTCTTGCCATTTTACATGGAGCATCAGCACAATGAAGCTACAGAACACTCTAAAAAGTCGGTGTTATTATGATGTACATTTTCCACATGAAGAAACTGAGGCATAAAGAAGAAACGAAGTGCCTTGTGCCAGGCCACACGATTAGCAAGTAGCAGAGCCAGGATGTGAACATGGGTAGAAAGGCTGCAGAATTAGCACTTTGCTAGTAGGGAGAGCCCTGCGAAGACAGGTAAGGCAGGCAGCTTCCAGGGAACAACTTGTGTGTGCTTCCACATCACCCACCCCAGCCTGAGACCACGCCACAGGGGACAAAAAGTGTAGCACGTACCACAGGCTCTTGGGACACTTTCTCCCCAATTCTCTGATGTTACCTACCCTACCTTAATCTTTGGCATTCCTTCTTCTTTTCTTTTACAGTCTTCATTCGCTGCTGCTAACTGCCTCTCTTATCTCGGATTCTTCTATATGATTATGAGGACAATACAGGCTCTTCCAGCTATAAATATAAACAGGGGCTGGTCAGCAATTTAATTCTACATTTGGTTATCAAGTTCCACAGGGTCAAGGTAAAGGTGTGCTTCACCTCCCAACCTATGGAATGGAATAAAAGGAACACACCCAGTATCAACGCTGGTGATGGCCAATAATTATTAAATTGTACCAAGGACTATCTAGGCCCTGCACATGTGTTAACTCGCAGAAACTCCATGTGGTATGTACCATTATTGTCCCTATTTTCAAGCGGTGACTGAGGCTCAGTGAGGTCAATATCTTGCCCAAGGTCAGTTAGTGATATATACAGATAGGATTTGAACCCAAGTTAGCAGGGCTCCAAAGGCTGTCATTTGCTCCCATGCTATATCGCTATGACACAGTGTAGCAGCGGAAGAACCTGGAACCACTGTTTGACCCAACTTGTGCCTAATGAATTCACAAGAAAGCACTCAGGAAAATGCGCTCTTCTGCACCCAAGCATGGTCCTTTATTCTACGCAGTAACAGCTGGACAAGGCTGTTCTTTCCAAGGAAGAGGAGCCTGTGAGCTTCTGGGGGCCTGGAAGCAACAGCTCCCATTAGCAAGGGATAGAAGCTTACACTAAGTGCCTCCCTCAAGCCCCACGGCTCCTCTTCATCAAGGCTCTGATGGCCAAAGGTTCAGCCTGTCCCCAATTTTTGTCTGGGTCAGGCCAGAGGTAAAAAACACCTTGCCACCAGTGTCAGCAGACTACAAAGTTACAGTTCGCACTGCGTGGGTTAACGCCGAAAGTCAAGGCGGACAAATAAAATAAATCAACCCCTATGAAGGCAAGCCAGCGTACAGTCCGGGGCTGGAGTGGACAGTGAGAGAGAGACAGAGACAAAGGTCTTCCTTTGCCGTTGGTTCACCCTCCAATGGCCGCCGCGGCCAGTGCGCTGCCGCAGGCGCACCGCGCTGATCCGAAGGCAGGAGTCAGGTGCTTCTCCTGGTCTCCCATGGGGTGCAGGGCCCAAGCACTTGGGCCATCCTCCACTGCACTCCCTGGCCACAGCAGAGAGCTGGCCTGGAAGAGGAGCAACCGGGACAGAATCCGGCGCCCCGACTGGGACTAGAACCCGGTGTGCCGGCGCCGCATGGTGGAGGATTAGCCTAGTGAGCCGCGGCGCCGGCCTCCCTCCACTTTCTAGACAGCTGGGTCAATCAGGTCCCTCCAGAGACACACACTCGGCCACCGGCCGCCCGGGGTCAGGCTGCAGATCTTGAACTTGCAACTACTCTGCACGAAGCAGCCTACTCAGAAAAGCCAGGCTGTCCTGCACCCCCTTTCTTGGGACCGGCTCCATCTTCTGTTCCAACCCGGGAGCTGCGGTCGCAGAACTAACGACACCTGTAGGCTTCTTAAGGACAGCACTTGGGCGGGCTGGACGAGGAGAGAGAAGATCCCACGGGGGACGCCGCTGGCGCTGGGGGCCATCCGGCTGGGGGCCGTCTAGCAATAGAAATAAAACCTTGCAACGTCAGTTCTTTGCATCGCTGGGCCAGGACGTTCCTGGGACGGGATGCTGTGCGCAGCGGTCTTCAGAGCGTGCGAGGAGAGACGTCGCAGAGGCGGCCTTCCGCAAACCAAGTCGTTTCGCTGGACAACACAAAGTACTAAAAATGAAATGAATTAAGAAAAAAATGTGTTCGGTCCCGCCGCCGCCGGGATAAACAATGATAGTTATTTGGAAAACACGTGTCGGTGTGGTCACAGCCGTGCCCCGGAGGTAAGAGTCGAAGGGGCTCAAGGGGCATCCCGCGGACGCCGGACCAGGCTCATGTCACGCCTGCCGGGTGGCTGGTGCGGGGCCGGGCTGCAGGTGGCCTCCGCCGCTCCCTCCTCGCGGTAGGTCTCGGGCCGCCGCTCCGGGCCTGGGCCGTCCACCCAGCTGTCGCTGAGGGCGCCGCTGTCCGGGAATTTTATATTCGTGGTCACAAGCCGTGGTAACTTCCTCACGGCGGCCGCCCCGCGCGGTGACTGCGCTGCCGAAGAGAGCGAGCGCGCAAACGGGGACCCGGTCACGCGGACCGCGACCGACGGGGACCGCTGCGACAGCAACCGTTGGCCCAGGGAGACCGCTAACGGCCGCGCGCTAACGGCCGCGCGCCCTCCCTTCCCCGCCCCTCCCCGCTCTCCCGCTCGCTCCGCCCCCCACGCACGTGCGTCGGCGTCCGGGCGCGCGCCCTCAGCCGCCGCCGGACAGGCGGAAGAGGAGCCCAGCGGCGGGCGGGGCCGTCGCACAGTGGTGACGTTGTGCTACCGGCGCAGGCGGGTGACGCGGTGGGGCCGGGTTGTCTGTGTGTGGGGCTGAGGGGCCCCGGGGGCTGTGGGGGGCTCCCGGCGGGGGCGGCGGTGGGTCGGGAGGGCCTGGACATGGCGCTGAGGGGCCGCCCCGCGGGAAGATGAATAAGGGCTGGCTGGAGCTGGAGAGCGATCCGGGTGAGGAGGGGGCCGGGTGGGCCAGGGACTGGGGAGGCCGTATGGGCTTGGGATGCCCCTGCCTGACCACCCCCCGCGTCCTCTTGTCGCCCCACCCAGGCCTCTTCACCCTCCTGGTGGAAGATTTCGGTAAGCGCCTTCCCTGCCCTCCGGATGGCGGATTGAGGGGCTGTGGGGGCCCAGCTCTGTGCCCTCGCTCCAGGGCCTGGGGCTGCCCTTCCCGACCGCTTTCTCTTCCTGATCGCAGGTGTCAAAGGCGTGCAGGTGGAGGAGATCTATGACCTTCAGAGCAAATGCCAGGGGTGAGTGGCTGGGCGTCAGGGCCGCCCCTTGCGCCCAGAGGGCTGGGGAAGGGCCTGGGGAGTAGCGGGAATCACGAGGTGTAAGACCCCCATCAAGAAGCGTCTTCCTCCCTCCCCGGTGCCTGCCTTCTGATCCAGGTGATATTTCCGCCTGTCCCAGGTTTCTCTTGTGTTTCCCTTCGGGTAGTAACCCTGCCCCCAACCCTGGCCTTCAGCTGCCTTTTTTGGCCTCACAACAGGAAGCCCCTCGCAGTGGGAAGCCCCAGGTCACACGGTGCCTTTTGTGCCCACGTGTGCACTGGCTCTAATCCCCGAAGGTCACTCTTCATGGATTGGCTGCTGTGACAAGGCCCCTTCCACTCATGGCCTTGTCCTGGTGGAGCTGCGGAGTGCAGGCGCAGTGACTGGACCAACAAGTCTGCTTTTGTTCCCTGCGGAGCGAGGGGCTGCCGCCGGTGTTCCTTTACTTCCTTGGCATCACTGGGCCTCAGGCCTTGGGTCTACAAGTGATAACGAGTGTTTAATTTCCTCATCACACAGAGCTCTTCTGCTTTTACTCTGTGTCCCGGGCCGTCGCTTGCAGCTGCCCCTCTGTCCCCCAGAACCCTTGGCTTCCCGAGGAGACTGGGTAGGCTCTTGGAGCACTCCAGCCAGAACAGACGGTTGCCTCTGTCTGTGGCAGACTTCGGGGTTGTGAGGGCTCAGGGCAGCTCTGGACGCTTTGGGACAAAGCCAGGGGGCAGGTGGAATCGTGGCCAGGGCCCCCGAGTGATGACACAGTGCAGAGGAACGAAAAACAGGCTGCTGACGGCCTCCGCCCCGTGCCTCTCCAGCCCCGTGTATGGATTCATCTTCCTGTTCAAATGGATCGAAGAGCGCCGCTCCCGCCGCAAGGTGTCTACCTTGGTGGATGACACGTCTGTGATCGATGACGATATTGTGAATAACATGTTCTTTGCCCACCAGGTCTGCTGGGCTCTGTGCTGTCTGGAGTGGGAGGCTGCCGTTTTCTGTGCTTGGGAAGTGGAAGTGGGAGAAAGCAGGAGGAGGAGGTGGTGGTCACAGAAAGAACCGAGCTCTTAGTCATAAAAGGAGCATCCTCAGAGAGGGGTCATGTCTGAACCCTCTTTCCAATGCCCCATACACCTGGTGCTAATTAAATGAGCTAGTGTTGGAAGAAGGTGATGGGAACCGATGAGGGTTGTTGTCCAGATAGGACTGTCCTGATGAACATGGGCTTGTGGGAGCGTGGGGCTTGGCATGAGGGGTGCTGGGTGAGTGTGACCATTCTTGCTTTCACAGCTGATCCCCAACTCTTGTGCCACTCACGCCTTGCTGAGCGTGCTCCTTAACTGCAGCAATGTGGACCTAGGGCCCACCCTGAGTCGCATGAAGGATTTCACCAAGGGCTTCAGCCCTGAGGTAAGCCACAGTTCCTTAACCATGGCTCACAGCTGGCTGGGCAGACCCACCCCTCCCGGGCCGCTGGAGATACCACCACATGGTATTTGGCACTTCTAGGCCATTTCTTCAAGTTACAGTTCATGTCACATTTGATCCTTAGATTAGTATAGGAGGTGGTTGGTTTTAGGACCATGTATAGGGAAGGGACTCGACCTAGGTCACAGCATTACTGCCTTCCGTGATGGGACTCTCCGTCAGGATGTGCGGCCCCCCAGTGTCCCTGGTCACTATGCAGGGCCAATGCAGGCCATCTCTTTGGGGCTCCAGAGCTCCATCTGCTCCCACTAGCCCTTCAGGACAATTTGTGCTTTTTCAGATTCCTAGAATGCCTCCAGCCTGCTGCCTGGAGCCTTGCCTGTTACCCAGAGGCCCACCCGAGTTCTGACGTAGCCTTATTTTCTTCTCTAGAGCAAAGGATATGCAATTGGCAATGCCCCGGAGTTGGCCAAGGCACACAATAGCCATGCCAGGTGTGTGGAAACTGTGGTAGCGGACGGTAGGGCGAGGGTGGAAAGGAGTGTCATTTTGGGAGCCCTGACTGTGTCTTCTTCAGGCCCGAGCCACGCCACCTCCCTGAGAAACAGAATGGCCTTAGTGCAGTGCGGACCATGGAGGCGTTCCACTTTGTCAGCTATGTGCCTATCACAGGCCGGCTTTTTGAGCTGGATGGACTAAAGGTCTACCCCATTGACCATGGTAGGTACCCTGAGTTGATGGCCTGTTGGGTTTCTCTGCTTACCTCCTGGGGATCTGGGGCTCAGGGCCATCTTGTTCTTGGGACCCACTGGTAGGAGGGGGTGGGCACTGAGAACATCTAACTCTGGCCAGGATTTCAATCTGCCCCACATTGCCTGACCAGCTTGGGACTCCCTGGCTCAACTCTCTTCTCTGTCTTCCTTCCCACCCCTGGCCTGCGTAGAGTTAGAGTTTCCTACCTGCTGATTCCTTGTCTTGGTGTCCTTTAGGGCCCTGGGGAGAGGATGAGGAGTGGACAGACAAGGCCCGGCGGGTTATCATGGAGCGCATCGGCCTCGCCACTGCAGGGTAAGGGCCCCGTGTCTGCCCTGCCCTGCCCTCTGGAGCTGTGCGCCCTTTGGGAGGAACAGAGAGAAGCCAGGTGATCTGTAAATCCCAAGACCACATGATGAATTTGGCAAGGTCAGACTTAGATTTTAGGCTTCCAACTCCTTGCCCTATTTCCTGCCTGGGCTGTCTGTGGTCTGCCCCTGGATGGGTTGCAGAGGGATGGCCCAGGTGTGCTGGCTCATTTGCGCACAAGCCCCTCACACAGCTCTTTGGCAGGCACCAGCACAGGTGCCTGGTGTGAATGGCCAGCCACTGCCTGCCTATTAGGGTGGGGCCTGTACCTACAGGTGCAGGTGCGACCGCAGAGAGCCCTCCCTGTGGGGTTATCTGTCTCAAGCTGATGGCGCGGCCTAGGTGGGAGCTGCTCTCACAGCTGCGGCTGTGACTGCAGGGAGCCCTACCACGACATCCGCTTCAACCTGATGGCAGTGGTGCCCGACCGCAGGATCAAGTACGAGGCCAGGCTGCATGTGCTGAAGGTGAACCGTCAGACAGTACTGGAGGCCCTGCAGCAGGTGGGCGCCTCCCCTGCCCGGCCCAACCCTCCTGGCCTTTCCTCCCATTGTAGCACCTATCTCTGGTTTCCAGGTCATACACGCTGCTGATCTGGGCTTCAGCTAACCATTCCTTTGGTCCCTTTGTGGGGAAGCCGGGACTTCGAGTTGGGAGGGAGAATTGTGTCTAAAAGAAGGTTTTGACCTGGCTGTTATGTTTCCTGTGAGTTGAGCGTACGGGTCAGAGCCAAGGCCACTGTGCTGGCCCTCAGCCCTTCACTGTCCTCTGAGCCTTCAATTCTGTTTTCAGCTGATTAGAGTTACACAGCCAGAGCTGATCCAGACCCATAAGTCTCAAGAGTCACAGCTGCCTGAGGAGTCCAAGCCATCCAGCGGCAAGTCCCCTGTGGGGCTGGAGGCAAGCAGGGCTTCAGCGGCCCCTGATGGCACCCACACAGGTACTGGGGGTACCTCTCATGAACCTCAGAGCCACTTGGGTGGCTTGAGCTGAGGGGCGGCCTGAACAGAGCGAGCCTTTCCGTCGAGGTCCTTGGGCGGTGTAGAGGCTGCTCCGGAAGACAAGCCAGTGGCTGCAGCTCTGCCGCTCTGAGCATAGTTTAAAGCAAGCACCTGAGGTGGCTGCATTACCCAGCCCTGAGCCCTTCTCTGTCCTGTCCAACCGCTTGCTTTGCTCCAGGGCCTTTTCCTTTCTGTCCGCCTCTTTTTCTCCCTCCCTTTTTTTCCCAGTCTTGCTGTGGGACCATGACTTAGAGCTGGCGTAGCAGCTCCTTGGGGAAGGAAAGGGAGGAGCACTATGTCACAGGACCGGGAGCCTGGGCTTTTCTTGAGGATCCCAATGAGTCCTGCCTGTGCCTCTCGTCCTATTGCAGATGGTGTGGAGGACGTGGCTGGTTCATGCCCACAGGCCCTGGCCCACAGCCCTCCCGGCAAACCCAAGCTGGTGGTGAAGCCTCCAGGGAGCAGCCTCAACGGGGTCCCCCCCACCCCCGCCCCCATTGTGCAGCGGCTGCCGGCCTTTCTAGACAATCACAACTATGCCAAGTCCCCCATGCAGGTGAGCCGGGGGCACCTAGGCAGGAGTCCTCTGGAATGCTTTTGAGAGACCACACAGGCAGTCTCCCTGTGTGGTTGCTGGGTGCCCCCCTCCCGCCTGGGTTGCCACACTCCTCTGAGGCTCAGAGGCCCCCCTAATGGCAGGGACTTAGGGAGCCAGGGAGTGCTCTAGTTACAGGGCCTGCTCTTCAGTGTGGTTACACGGGTTGGGTCCTGCTGGCGAGCTAAAGGCACGTGTCAGGGGCCCTGTGGTGTAGTGGGGCAAGCAGCCTCCCAGAAACCAAGGGGGTGGGGAGTGCTCTGCGGCACCTGCCAGGGCCCAGCAGACTCATTCTGGAAAGCCATGCGGCTTTCTCCCGCTGTGAGTGCTGCGCCCAGCCAGGGCTCAGCAGTTCTGCTCCTGCCTGACCGCCCTGGTGTCTACCCCAGGAGGAGGAAGACCTGGCAGCAGGTGTGGGCCGCAGCCGAGTTCCAGTCCGCCCACCCCATCAGTACTCAGATGACGAGGATGACTATGAGGATGATGAGGAGGACGAGGTGCAGAACACCAACTCTGCCATCAGGTCAGGCCCAGTTCTGTAAGAGCAGCAGGCTCTGGGTATCTTGGTCCTGCCCGAGTGTTCCATCCCGTGTCCTAGAATGCCTGTCAGCAGATAACACTGAGCAGCTGGAGGGCATAGGACCCGGGGAGGCTGGCCCCTCATCCTCAGGAAGTGTTTGGTGGGCTTAGAGGAAGGCTGCACACCTAAGCACACCTCACCTAACCTGCGTCTCCGAGGTTATCCTGTTGGAGGTGGTCTTGCAGCTGGCCCTCAGAAGGACTGGGTGGGACAGGGATGGAAGAGGTGTTGGGGGTAGCGAGGCAGCTTTGCTGGAAGACACAGCGTTGGCAGAAGGCCAGAAGTGAGGCCACTGGAACAGAGGAGATGTCTCTTGAGGATACCAGGCATGGGATGGCTAGGTCAGGCTGCTTGGATCAAGTGCCAGGAGCTTCAGGGCCACCCGGAGGCCAGGATGGGTTCACGCCGTTCTAGGCATTGCTGGTGTGGTTACCTGACCTCTTTTGGCTCGCCTCTTCTTGGGCCCCACAGATACAAGCGGAAAGGGCCAGGGAAGCCTGGGCCACTGAGTGGTTCTGCGGACGGGCAGCTGTCAGTGCTGCAGCCCAACACTATCAACGTCTTGGCCGAGAAGCTTAAAGAGTCCCAGAAAGACCTCTCGGTTCCTCTGTCCATCAAGACCAGCAGTGGGGCTGGGAGTCCAGCTGTAGCGGTGCCTGCGCACTCTCAGCCCTCCCCGACCCCCAGCAACGAGAGCACGGACACAGCCTCCGAGATCGGGAGTGCTTTCAACTCGCCCCTGCGCTCCCCCATCCGCTCGGCCAACCCAACGCGGCCCTCCAGCCCTGTCACCTCCCATATCTCCAAGGTGCTTTTTGGAGAGGATGACAGCCTGCTGCGGGTGGACTGCATACGCTACAACCGCGCTGTCCGGGATCTGGGCCCTGTCATCAGCACAGGCCTGCTGCACCTGGCTGATGACGGGGTGCTGAGTCCCCTGGCGCTGACAGGTGGGCCTTACTTTGGCTCACTGCCCCTTCGGTGCACCCAGGAGGGAGGGGCCCAATGGCCGCAGAGTGTGCTGCACTCAGATGGGTCTTCTTGTGCCTTCTCTTCCTAGAGAGTGGGAAGGGTTCCTCGCCCTCTGTCAGACCAAGTCAAGGAAGCCAGGGCTCCAGCAGCCCAGAGGAGAAGGAGGTGGTAGAAACCACAGACAGCAGAGAGAAGACTGGGCTGGCTAGGCCCGGTGAGCCCTTGAGTGGGGAGAAGTACTCACCCAAGGTGAGTCCCTGTCGCTTCCCCTTCCAGTCCTGGCAGAGGGAAGGGCTTGGGCAACTGCTCTCTGGGTGCTTGCTTGGAAGGCTGGTGGCTGGAACCAGGTGCCAAGCAGCCTTGCCAGGGTAGGTGGTGGTAGGGGCCTTAGTAGGCGCCATGGACTCTAGCTGTTCACCATGCCTCTGGCCGCCTCTTGGGAGTGGGGAGCTGCTCCTGGCCACACCCTCAGAGGGGCAATGCTGGGCTTTGGCAGGAGCTGCTGGCACTGCTCAAGTGTGTGGAGGCTGAGATTGCCAACTATGAGGCCTGCCTCAAGGAAGAGGTAGAGAAGAGGAAGAAGTTCAAGGTAGGGAATCTGCAGTGCCCTGGTCCTGTGCCCCATGCCGAGATCAGCTGGTGGCACCCTCACCTTTTCCCCTCTCTCCAGATTGATGACCAGAGAAGGACCCACAACTACGACGAGTTCATCTGCACCTTCATCTCCATGCTGGCTCAGGAAGGTGAGAGACTCATTGTTCATTTTATTTTTTTTTTTAAGATTTATTTATTTACCTGAAAGGTAGAGTTATGCAGAGGCAGAGAATGATCTTCTATCCGCTGGTTCACACCCCAGATGGCCGCAACAGCTGGAGCTGGGTTGATCCGGAGACAGGAGCTGCTGGGTCTCCCACACAGGTGCAGGGCCCCAAGGACCTGGGCCATCCTGTATTGCTTTTCCAGGCCACAGCAGAGAGCTGGATTGGAAGTGCAGCAGCCGGGACTCAAACCAGCGCCCACATGGGATGCCGGCACTGCAGGCAGTGGCTTTACCTGCTACGCCACAGCGCCAGCCCCAACTGCTCATTTAGATTGGCAGACTCTGCTGAGGGCCATGTCCCTCAGGTCCCCCTCCTTCAGGTCTGCCCTCAGCAGACTGGGACACAGGGAGGCCTGTGACATACTCGACTCCCAGCCTGAGGCTGTGTCTGGTGGAGCACATTACTGCTGGGTAACCAGCCATCTGCTCAAGGGTCTTTGCCCCTGCAGGCATGCTGGCCAACCTGGTGGAGCAGAACATCTCGGTGCGGCGGCGCCAAGGGGTCAGCATTGGCCGGCTCCACAAGCAGCGGAAGCCTGACCGCCGGAAACGCTCTCGCCCGTACAAGGCCAAGCGCCAGTGAGGACTGCTGGCCGTGACTACAGCCCGCTCTTGCCGTGCGGCCCTCCCCGGGGCCCCTCCCTGCCCACTCCCCCTCGTCCCAGTATTACCAAATAGTTCCAGTCCAAGAGCTCGAGCCCTGGGAACGGGAGCCAGGCCATATCACGCCCTGGGGCCTGGCAGAGGCAGGCCAGCCCTGTCGTGCTCAGGAAGCAGCAGCTGGAGATGGGGCCCAGCAGGGTGCTGCGCTCCCTCCACAGCCGGCTGTGGAGCAGTAGGACCCAGCCCTTCTGCCTGGACAGCAGAATATATATTTTACTTATGGAAGACGTCTATTTTTCTGGGCTCCAACTCATCTTGCCACCATGTTGACAGAGCTGGCTTTCTGACTCTTGCTTTCTCTCCCAGCAGCCGTCGTCCTGGTGGGCCCAGGCCCTTGCATCACATCAGGGTCATAACTGCAGAGCCTGGGAAGGCACCGAGCCCTTTGTTCAGGCCGCAGCCGCCAGCTTGTCCCTGTCGTGAGGAAACCAGGCTCACCATCCCTTCCTCTTGGGAGAGCCAAAGTTGGACCTGGCTGCTGGGCTGGCTTGGGAGGTGGGATGAGCACAGGTGGGATGAGCAGCTGCTGGGATGCCATGGCCCGAGCAGTCTGGTGGTCTAACGTGTCCTAGCTCTAGTCTAGCTGGGCTTGTCGAGACTGTCCTCCAAAGCAAGGCTCTGGGGCTCTTTGCCTTCAGTGTTGTGGGCCTGGCTGTGGGCCTGCCTGGGGCTCAGGAGCCTCTGCCCAGCCCCTCAGTATTACCATGTCCCCCTCCTCTTAGAGATGGCAGAGCCAGGGCTGCTTACAGGAAGCGGACGCCACTTGGCTCTCCCTGCTACGCCAGCTTCCACAGCCTCTGCAAGGCACTCAGGGTGGGGGGCAGCAGGATCAAGACATCCAGTTTGGAGTTCCTGTGTTCCCAGAGGGTCTGATGCCAAGTGGCAGTGGGGTTAGCCCTGGCTGCAGCTCAGGCCCCAACCTGGCCCCATGGCCTCTGCCAGATGGCTTTCTGAAGGTCATTCAAGCAGGCCCTTTATCTGTACATAGTGACTGGGGGACCAGCAGGTATGACCACTGCCTCTGTCTGGGCTGAGCATGGCCTGACCCCTTGGCCCCTATAAATACTGGATCAATGAATGAATAAACTCCTGAGAAATTAACCTTCCCGTGGTTGCTGCGGCTGGGCGGGAGTGAGGGGGTCTACCAGGACCTCTTGGGCCAAGGGGCCCTGTGAACAGAGGTGAGAAGTGTGGGTTCCTGGGGCATCCCGCCTTCCGGACCAGAGATCCTTGAGACCTTAGGCCTGGGAATCAGGACCCAAGCCGAAAAGGAGTTTGAGGTGGGTGTAGACAGGGTGTACTTTGTGGGGACACATCTGGTGGCTTCACACCTTGGAGAGGTGCTTGCTGCCTGGCGTTCCCTGGAGGGGCACCGGGACCTGGGATGGTGCACGCCTCTTTCCTTGTTGCACTGGGACGGGCACAGCAGGCCCGGGCTACTGTCTCTGCTTTCCAGCCCCTGGCTGCGTTCTCTGCTGAGGCCGCCACCACCTCTCCCCGCTACCCCGGCAGCGAGTCTCACAGAGGGGCCCTGCGCACACAGCTGAGGCACAACTGGACTTCGGAAAACCCAACTTTAATGGCTCCAGCCCTCCTGTCTGGGCCTAGTAGTCCAGGGCACAGATGAGGGCCACGCCACGCTTTATCCAGTGCCGCTGGGGCCGGTCAGTGGGGATCTCCACGGCAATGACATAGTTGGTGGAGTGGCCTGTGGTTGAGAGTGTTCCTGGAACAGGTAAGAAGGGGAGAGGGTCATGCCGGGCCCTCTCTACCCGAGGAAGCAGAGGGCAGGGATGGGGGTGGCGAGTTTGGCAGACAGTTGGGAACAGGGACGTGTTTCTGGCCCAAGCAGCAGCCTGCACGGCAAGTGGGTCAAGGCCAAGGCTCAGATCTGCCTGGGGTTATTGTAGAAGGAATGGAAGATGGGAAAGGGGGCCCTGCTCTGGGCCTCAGTTATGCCTTTGCCCCAAGGTAGAGCTGCTGAGGGAGGCACACAGGTGGTACACGCAGCCCTCGGCATTAGCTAACCTGCTTGCTGCTGGTCTGGCTCTGTTCTGTCCCAAACCTCTGCCAGCCTTCCTGTTCAGCTAACCTGCATTAGTCTGGCTTCCTGAGGCCCCACTTGGGAGTGCAGGCTGTCTGCCCTAGGCCCCTTACCAGCACGTGTCAGTGTTTTGTAGATGGGACACAGGTAGAAGTCCTGGCCCTGGGCCTTGCGGTTGGGTGTAGGCACAAGCCAGATAACAGCCATCTCTGTGTACAGCTCCTTGGGCCTGGACTCGGCCAGCTGGAAGGCCACTGGGTCCCAGCGGGCACCTTCCAGGAACAGTCCGTGGATGTAGCATCCCACTTCAGGCCTTTCCTTGAGCTCTGATGGTAACTGGGGCATTACCTATGGAGGACACGTGGACATGCACACATACACTGACACCCAGAATCTTCTTCCAAGAGCTGTTACCTGCCCACCTGCCCTTTACCCAGCACTGTAGCTGGTGGTCTGTGTCTGCCCTGCCCCTGGGGATTTCCCTAGGGGCATGGTCAGAGTTCCCTGACTACCAGCCAGCTGTGGCCTCTGTATCTCTCCTGCCTGGGCTGTCCTCCAGCCTGTCACCTGACCTGGCCCTGGTTGTGCCCAGACCTTGAATGAGAAGGAGATGGTATCGATGGAGATGATGGACTTGCGGGCAAAGTTCTGCAGAGTGCCTGTCAGGAAAGCCTGGGGGAAGAAGAAGCCACTGATCCAGAAGACAGCTGGGATGCCACCCTGGATCCAGGCCTGCAGGAAGTCCAGGCGCCGCAGCAGGTCCATGACCCAAGAGGACAGCGGCTTGAGCGATGGGTAGGCCTTAGCATTCCAGAGCTCAGGTACGGTGTTGTTGTACAGGCTGGCAGCCATCAGCTCCAGCTGTGAGGACATCACCACCAGCCCCTTGAGCGCCTTGAGCAGGTCCCGCAGTGTTTGTATGATCACCTGCAGCAGCCTGTTGTACCTAGAGACAGTGGCAAGGAAGCAGGCAGACAGCTGGGTTGTATGGCAGTCAGGGCCAGAGGTGGAAAAAATGGTGGCACATTATAGAGGCTGAGAGCACAGAGCTGGGCCAAGCAGCCTGGGTACAAATGCCACTCCGGCCTTTGCCAGTTGTTGACTTTAGGTCACATAACCCTTTTGGGGCCTCTGTTTATTCATCTACAAAATGGAAACAATACAAATGAAGTTGAGTTAGGATGGATGGATGTGTAGCATTTGCCACGGCAGCTGGCTCTTCCCTCCAGCCCAGTGGCCGCTGGCTGGGGTATGGCCATGGGATTACCTGATGACCTCTTGCACTAGCACCGTGTTCATTGACTCTTCATACAGCACTGGGTACTTGGCCGTCACCTGCTGCATGTTGACAGGTTCAGGCACTCGGAGAAGAATACCCTGGGCTGTGTTCTGTACTATCTGCAGAGGCAAAGGTCACTGGGGGTCAGGACAGGCCCTTCCCCCCCAACCCCTGCAGGATTTCACCTGGGGAGAGGCAGGATGGTCCTGCCCAGCCCTCAGCTCCTCCTCCTGTCACCACCCACCTCATCCCGGCCCTGGCCGCCCACAGAGGACGACTTGGGTTGCAGCTGGATGATGGTGCCAAGCAGGGCGAATGTCTCATTCTGGGCGAAAGTGATGTTGGCGTTATCGTGCAGGCCAAAGATCTCAGGCATGTCATTGAGCGGGAGGCTCTTGATGTAGGACAGGTAGCCCTAGGAGGCAGGAGGGGCAGAACTGAAGCCCCTGCCTTGCTCTAGAGTCACCCTCCTATTGAGCACATCCCACCTGCCACAGTTCCCACTGTCACCTCTGGCTGTAGCCCTTGTGCATTTCCCTGTGGTTCTTGGGACTCTGGCCTCTGAGGCCCTGTGTTGTGGCCCTTGCTTCCCTCCCAGCCCCCTTGTCACTGCCATCCAGCTCCCTGCTCTCCCTGTGTGGTCCGGGTTGGGCTACCACCTTGGAGGAGCTACTCCAGCCAGCACTGAGAGATACACTTGGCCCGTGCTCCAGGACACAGGGCCTGACCAGCCTCTCTCACTTGCGAGAGCCTCTGGAGGGCAAGGGCAACGTGTCCTGCCAGCCTGCCCACAGCCCTGCGGGCGGGCTCACGTTGAGGTCGTAGGTTGGCTGGATCTGGTGGTAGATGCCTGAGGCACTGTAGCTGTGCTCAGGGGAGAGCACCACAGGGCTGTAGAAGTCCTCCAGGATGTTCATGACGCAGCGGCGGTCCCAGTCGTCCGTGACGCGGCCCCCATAGTTGATCTCCCCTGCTGTGTACTTGAGGACCTGCAGGGTGGGCAGGTTAGGCTCCCTCAGCGCCCAGGCCCCGGCCCCCAGTCTGCCCCCAGCCCACCTTGTAGGGGATGTCATCGTATTCGTCCAGGAACATCTTGAGCTGGCTGATGCAGATGCGCAGGTCTCCATCCGTGAACTCATAGGGGATGTTGAAGCCCAGGGGCCCGAACTTCCGGCGCTCCAGCATGTTCCCGTGGAACAGGCACAGAGACAGCAGCAGGGACTTGAACTCGGTCACCTGTGGGTGTAGGGGAGCCAGGAAGGTGAGGGGTGAGGACAGGGGACAGGTAGCGCAATCAGGCACCAAGCGTGCTTCACCTTGTGACAGGAGTTGAAGTCGTCGCTGAGGCTGCTATAGGATTTCATCAGGTTGGCCTTGACCCCACGTGGCGGCTCGATGGTCATCTTGGAGCTGTTCTGCAGGATGGACACTGGGAACCTGCTGCTGGGCAGGCTGGTGAGCCACAGGCGGAAATCCCGGTGCACCTGGCAGCCGCAGCTCCCCGTGAGCATCAGCCCCCAGGTCTGGGGTCCATCCCAGCACCAGCCTCCCTCCTCCCTTGGACCCCTAGGCCTAGCCTCGGCGGGCCAGGCAAGGCCACGTGGATGACTGGGTAAACAGATGGACGCTGTGCTTGCTGGGGGGCCTGGGAAAATCCTATCACCACCTGCGCCAGTAACTGGGGTCTGGGCAGTGCGTGGCACATACATCAGTGTCTGCCCGGACTGGGCTGAGGCCCTTCTGGAATGACCACACTTGGCCTTCTGTGGAGCCCCTTCAGCAAAGGAGCCCTGGTGGGCCTGCGACAGGCAGGGGGTGCACCTTGTCGGGGTTGATGTGCTCGATGAGGCGCTCCAGGGTCGGCATCCAGCTCGGTGCCAGGTGGCAGTTCTGGAAGAAGACCCACTTGCCCCTCTCTATGGAACTGCGCATCATGGTTTCCGCCTGAGGGCCCTGGGGGACAGCAGCACTGAGCACCTTGGGACTGGCTGCCCTCTGCTCCCTCCCTCCCTTGCCTGCTCCTTACCTGGCCCTGGCCCAGGGAGATGGCAGACAGCTTCTTGGAGAACTTCATCTCTTCGGCAAACTTGTAGAGGTCAGCAGCAGGGTCAGTGCCGGGCGACAGCACAAAGATGAGGGGTGTGGTAGAGTTGGAGTCTTTGAATACTGCCGACAGGTTGGCAGTCTGCAAGGACAGGGAGGGACATGGAGACCACCTGGGGCCTAGGGGGGGATGGGGACAAGGGCAAGGCAGGAGCAGAGGGGGAGTGGGGCTTCCTGGTAGAGCCTGGAAGCTCCCAGGGGCCTTTGGGGAGCACGCAGGAGACCAGCCTGGTGAGGGCTGCATGGTCATCTACCTGGGTGCAGCCAGGCCCCCAGGCCCAGGGTGGGGATTAGCTCAGAGTGCAGCACTTGCCTGGGGCTCGATGAAGCGTGGCTCCAGGTTGGTGGCTACAAAGTCCTGCATGGCATTGGTGACCTTGTCCCTACGCAGACAGCGGAGGACCAGCAGCTTCTGGAACTGGTCCAGGTTCCGGTCCCAGATGCCAGGCAAGGGCTCCCTGCAGCAGTGCCCACAGCTCCCTGAGAACTGGCCTGTGGGACGCTACTGGCCCCAGGGGTTCTGCCAGCTGGACAGCAAGGTGGGGGTCTAGGGTACAGGCTAGGGGCCCGGAGGAGCTGCCTGGGGTCTCATCCCCTCAACACGCCCATCCTGTCAATCTCTGGGACCCAGCTCACCGGTGGGGCTCAAGGCTATCGAAGAGGACCCGGAATTCTGAGAGGTGCCTCACAAAGTCGGAGGAGAAGGAAGAGAAGGCAGGCAGGTTCGAGAGCGCCAGGATGTCTCGCCAGGCCCGGTCTGACAGCCAGTCCGGCGCGGGGTTCTGAGTCGTCATCTGGGTAGAGCCCCCGGACAGGAGATAGTGCCACTCGTGCTGGCAGGGGACAGAGGGAGGCTGGGAACCAGGCCCTGTGGCCAGCTCCTTCCTACTCCGGGCACCCCACCCAGAAGTGAGCTCCTGACTCCCCTCACACAGAAATCAGTGGCTGTTGGGGGTGGCAATGAAACAGGTGTGGGTTAGGACCCCCACCCTGCCTCTCCCTGGGCATGAGCCCTTATAGCAGAGGACTGGACCTCTCCCAGCCTCAGTCTCCTCGTGTGCAAAGCAGGAAGGCGAACAGCTCCCCGCAGCTTCCCAGCACTGGCCACAGATGGCAACTGCAGCCGGGGAGTCTCTCTCGCTGTCTTGGCAGGGCGCGTCTTCATGGCAGCCTGAGCTCCCAGCCAGACAGGTGAGGGAGGCTCAGGATGGGCTGTCCCTTGGGGTGGGCTCTGTGCTCAACAGCACACCTGCGGCTCCAGCAAAACCAGGCCTCTGGCTGTTCGAAACCAAGGAACTGGTTGCCACGGGCCTCTGCCCCCCACCCATCTTCTCAGCCCCACCCCCGCACCTGGTCGATCTTGCCCTCGTTCATCATGATGCGGACACAAAGCAGGAAGGCGAACATCAGCTTGTGCTTCTCAAAGAGGCTGCGGCAGACGTTGCTGTAGAGGTTGTAGGTCAGGTAGCGGTTGATGTTGGCGATGCGCTTCTTCAGGTTGTCTGCAGGGCCACGGGAGTGGAAGGAGGACCCCTGGGGCCCGACCCAGCTGGTCTCCCCAGCAGCCATGGGAGCAGCCTGGGCGTCCCCTGGGGCAGTTGGTGCCCCCCATAAAGGGCCCCAAGGAGGGCACTGAGCACTGAGTGGGCTTTATTAGGAACCGTAAGCCTGGCACGAGAGGACATGCCAGTGACATGGGTGCACCCCGCCATGGAAATGTGGGTGGGGTCCGGCTACCTGCCCTCTCTGAGTTGGAAATGCCGGACAGGAAGATGTTGAGGAACCACTCGAGGGAGTACTGGTACATGGGGTCCACGTTGGCCAGGTCGGACACACAGAAGAAGAGGATCTGGGTTCGGACGGCCACGGGTATGTACTCCATGCGTGTGAGGTCGATGTTCTTCTCCGTCTGCTCCGCAATCCTGACCTTGGCCTGGTGGTGCGGGGCGCGGGGGTCAGGCTCAGGTAGGCTGGCCGAGAGCAGAAGGCAGAGGTGGGCGGCCCTAGGCCTGGGACAGGTGGCCGACCTGGATCTCGGCAGCCTTCGTCTTGGAAGCCTCCAGCACTTTGATGAGCTCCACGTCGTCCACGGGGTTGCCTTTGGAGGAGCTCAGCCGGTACAGGATCTGGTCCTCAATGTCCTTCAGCTCCTGCCGCATCTTGGCGTTACTGACAATCAGCTGGTTCTTGGCCTCCTCCAGGTCAGGTCGCTCCTCAGCCACTACCTGCCCCAGCAGCTGATCCTCCAGGCCACTGCCAGGAATAGGGGACACTGTGTTCCCAATACCCGGAAGACCGGCCTTGATTCTACCCACCTAGTGACCTGGGCTCATGGGGCTCCAAGAGCCAGCACCCCTGCCTGCCTCAGGCCACAAGGCTAGTGTGGGGCTTCTCTGAGACCATGGATGGCAGCCTGGAACCCCTCAGGGAACATGTGATCCTCCAGGAAGCTCCTCCCCCCAAGCAAGAGTGGCTATGAGTGACCAGTAGGGAGGGGCCTCATGGGCATTTAGACTCCAGGTGTGTGGAGAGGCTCACAGCAACATCAGAGGCCTGGGGCAGGCATTTGGCATGGCAGTTACGTCAGCACTTAGGAGAACCATGTTCCACAGTGGAGGGCCTGGAGTTGAGTCGCCTCTGTGCTTCCAATCCAGCTAATGTGCACCTTGGGAGGCAGCAGATGATGGCTCAAGTACTAGAGTCCCTGCCACCCACATGGAAAACCCCAGTGGAGTTCCTGGCTGCTGGTTTTGGCCTGGCCCAGCCCTGTTTCTGTGAGCATCTGGGGCTTGAACCACCAAGGGAAAGATCTCTGTCTCTCTGCCTTTCAAATAAAATAAGTAACAGTTACATTTTAAAGAAGAAATGGGGGCCTTGGTATAGAGTGGGCCTGTGGGGCGTGAGCTCTTTCTGGGTGACTTGGGCTCATGACAGCCGGGTAGAGAGCAGGGCTTATATGCTGGGAGCTACAGTGTGCCTGGCTCAGGGCTCAGGGCCAGCTCTGGAGGTGAGCACACCAGGGCCCTTCACCGGGCTAAGCTGGAACAGATGGGTGCCTGGAAGAGGTGGGGCTGGTGCTGGCCAGGGTGGTGGAGGGACCCTGACCAGCAATCAGGTTAAGTTGGGGTGGGGGTTCTTAAGCAGGAATGGTGGCAGGTGAGGCTGGTAGACAGGTGGGATGCCAGAGTGCCCGGGAGGAAGCTGGTGTGACATCTGTGGTGGGGGCGGGGTGGGGGGGTGGGCCGAGATGGAACCAGTGAGTCCCAGCCTGGGGGCTGGCGGCAGCAGAGCTCAGGCTTGGGGTCCCCACGGCGGGAGCTGACCTGGGTGACAGGGTGAAGTTGATGATGGTGAGTTTGGTGGAGATCTCAGGTGTGTAGTGTGGGTTGGGCAGCTTGGTGGTGATGTACATCCTGAAGTCCTCATGGTAGGGGATCACCATGTCTCCCAGCTTCAGCACTGTGTTCCCCTGCTGCTTGTAGGTCTGCAGGGGGTGGGACAGGCAGGCACTTCACCTCTCTGCACCAGGCCTGCAGGTTCACCTGCCCCGCCCCCGGCCCACCAGCCCACCTGTTTGAGCAGCACAGGCTCCAGGGCCGGGTCCAGCTCCTCGCCCACATTTTCCAGCAGACATGGCTTGCCAAAGCGGATGGCATTCTCCATGCTACGCAGGAAGTCGCGGTCACTCATCTTGAACACGTCCAGCCCGCTGTCCTTCTCCTGCAGAGGAAGGGGCCGGGGTGGGGGTGCTGCAGGGGCCAAGAGGCAGCCCAGGGCTCCACTGCCTCCGCCTGCACCTGTAAGCCTGCTGCCGGCAGATGGGCTCACCATGTTCTTTATCCATTTGTTGGCCTGGCCCTGAGGGTCAATGAAGTGGGTCCAACGCTGGGAAAACTGGTTGATGACCCCGTTCTCCACTGACAGTATGTCGTTGGGGAGGCCAGCGATCTATAGGAGGACAGGCACTGGACTGGGTCACCTGGGCCATCAGCTACTGCCAGCCTCGAACTTCAGCTGTAGTTTTCCCTCTCCGTATGGCACCCTCTTGGAGGTGGGGGGCAGGTGATCACACAGGTAGCCCCAGGACCCTCTACCTCACTCCTGCCCCTGGGCCGGCTCCTGACACCCTCCTTCACTGGGCCTTGCTGTCCTGGTGCCTACTGAGTCCTCGCTCAGAGACCATCTTCCCAGAGCCCACGCCCCATGGGCCTCCCGCCCTTGTGCACACTCAGCCCTATCCTGCAGTCTCCTTGTTCTCTCCCTTTACCAACTCTCCCTGCCCTGCCCTTCAGTGTCCAGTTCAGATGTGACCTTTTTTTTTTTTTAAGATTTATTTATTTGAAAATCAAGGTTACAGAGAGGGAAGGAGGGGTGGGAGAGAGAGCGAAAGAAATCTTCCATCTGCTGGCTCACTCCTCACATGGCCGCAATGGCCAGGGCTGAGCCAGGCTGAAGCCAGGAGCTTCATCTGGGTCTTCCGTGTGGGTTTGAGGGGCCCAAACACTTGGGCCATTTTCCACTGCTTTTCCCAGGTCATTAGCAGGGAGCCGAATCGGAAACGGAGCAGCCAGGACATGAAACAGCGCCCATGTGGTTGCTGGTGTTGCGGGTGGTGGCTTAGCCTGCTGCATCACAACACTGGCCCTCAGATGTGACTTTGTTTTCATGTTTATTTATTTTAATGTTATTTGGAACACAGAGTCTCTTTCTCTCTCACTCAAACACACACACAGCACGTGAGAGATCTGTCCACTGGTTTACTCCCCAAATGCCTACAAGAGCCAGGGCTGGCCAAGCCGGAGCCTGGAACTCCCACATGAGTGTCAGGAGCCAGAGCACTTGAACTATCAGAGGTGAGATTCCAACCAGCCCTTCCAATATGGGATGTGCGAGTCCCAAGCAGTGGCCCAACTTCTGTACCACAACATTGGCCCCAGTCATGACTTCCTCTAGGAAACCTTTGTTAACACTCATACTGGACGCTGCTCCCCCACTGTACCCCCACCCCCTTAAAAGTACCCCTTGGGCTGACACAGGTAAAGCCACCACCTGCAACACTGGCATCCCATATGGGTGCTGATTCGAGTCCCAGCTGCTCCACTTCTGATCCAGCTCCCTGCTAATGGCCTGGAAAAGCAGCAGAAGATGGTCCAAGTCCTTGGGGCCCTGCTACCCATGTAGGAGACCTGGATGAAGCTCCTGGCTCCTGGGTTCAACCTGGCTCAGCCCTGATCATTGTGGCCATTTGGGGAGTGAACCAGTGGGTGGAAGATTCTCTCATTCATTCTCTCTCTCTCTCTCTCTCTCTCCCTTTCCCTTTCCCTCTCTCCCTCCCTACCTCCTCTGACTTTCAAATAAATAAATCTCTAAAAATCAAATAAAGAAAGAAAAGTAGCCCTTTCACTAGCATCTGTGCCACTTGCAGCCCATCTTTTCCCTCCTTCTCTTCCCCACCATCCCCTTGCTGGGCCTGGGAGCCCTCAGGGGATATGTCTCTGAGCTCAGCCCCAGGAGGGAGGGTGGAAGGGAGGTAGGAGGCTCCTGGCCCAGCCTGGTCACTCCTGCCTCCGGGGTGGGCACCTGCCACGAGCGGATCTTCACTGGGTTCCCCAGCGTCCCGATCAGCGTGGGCTCTGTGGTGTGTGGAACCTGGTGGATCGTGAGCTGCTTGACCCACTGGTCGTAGAGCACTGTGCGGTACTGACCCTGGGGAAGACGCCAAACTCAGAACCACCCCACCTCCAGACACACCCCAGGGCTTGGTGGTCACACAGAGGTCAGAGCCGGGATGTGGAGCATGCTGCCTGCATGGGAGTCCCACTTTGGGGGATCCCATCTGTGAAACAGGGGCAACGCCATCACCAGCCACCACAAGGAGAGCTGTGAGGATCAAATCGGATACACGGCACAATGCTGAGCCCTCGTGTTACTCCGCCAGGCGGGCTTGCTGCCACGTCCCCAGGGCCCCGCATGGGTCATGTTGAGCCACCCTCTTCTCCCACCCTGGAGCCGAGGTGAGGGCCAGGGCTGGGGGCTCCTCACCGTGAAGGGGCCTAGGTAGGCTACAAAGCCAGCAGCCACCAGCACGTCGCCGAAGATGTTGCTTAGCGTGTGCTCCAGGTTCTCCACCGTCTCCTGCCAGCGTACCTTCTCGTCTGATAGCCCATTGATGAGCTGCAGGGGTGGCCCAGTGGGGTGGGTGCTGCTGGGGAGGGAGTGCGGCCAGCTGCCCCCCACCAAGGACCTGCCCACCTTCCTGGAGTGGGGCGCGCACCTTGTCGGCCCGGCTCAGCCTCTGCTCGCACTGCTCGCACTTGAGCTCCAGTTCCTCCTTCTTGGCGATGCATTCTTGGTACTTGGCCTGTATCAGGGCGATGCCGTCCTCCACCTCGCGCAGGCGCTGCTTGGCCTCCTCCAGGATCTTCTGCGTTACCTCCAGGTCGTCCTGCGCCTCCCGCAGGGCTTGCTGCGGGCACAGGGTGCAGGGCCAGCTCGCCGAGTACTCCGGGGGAGGGGAGCCCGTCCCCGCCAGCTCTGCTCGGCCCTCACCCGCTTGGGCTCCACAGCCTTGGCCACGAAGTGGTACTTGTGCATGGCGCGCACCCACTGGCAGATGGACGTGCAGGCCTTGGACACCTTGGCGATGGCGGCCGGCTGGAAGTCTTCGTTGTCGATATACGGCTGGATGGCTCTGATCACCGCCTCACCAATGTTGTCCTGGGGTGGGAACCAAGGGCCTCAGTGCTTCCCAAGGGGACAGAGTGGGGAGCCTCCGAGGGAACCCTGATGCTGCTTCTGTGCCCCAGGCCCGATGCAGGCTGCAAGAGTGCCCTCCTTAGGGAGCAAACACAGCCCAGAAAGGCTGACCAGAACAGGACCTTTTGTGCCCCTAGAATAACAGACAAATGGTGAGTGAGTTCTTCCTTGGACAAAGTTTCAAGATAGAATAACACACAGGCCTCGTTTTAAACTCATTTAAAGACAATGGCTGATGGGGTCGGTGCTGTGGCATAGCAGGTAAAACTGCAGCCTGCAGTGCCGGCATCCCATATGGGTGCTGCTCCAAATCCTGGCTGCTCCACTTACGATCCAGCTCTCTACTATGGCCTGGGAAAGGAGAAGATGGCCTGAGCCCTTGGGCCCCTGCACCCGCGTGGGAGACCTGGAAGAAGCTCTAGGCTCCTGGCTTCAGAGTGGCACAGCTCCAGCCATTGCGGCCATCTGGGGAGTGAACCTATGAATGGAAGCCCTCTCTTTCTCTGCCTCTATAACTTCGTCTTTCAAATACATACATACGTACATACGATAGCTGCCTCCTGAGAGCAGCGCCGTTAGCAGGTGTAGAGATGAGATGAAGCCAAAGGAGGGGGGAGGGTTAAGGCTGAGCCAATGGGGAAGGCCTTGGCCAAGGCCCCAGGGAGTGAAGAGAACCCCTGGGCCCCAGGGTCCCCAGCAGTGGTGCTGTTGCTGCTGGGGGGGAGGGAGGCAGAGCGGTCCTCTGCAGCCTCCCTGCCTGGCTGTGTCCTGTCCTCACCGCTGGAAGCCAGGCGCACTCACCTTGTCAAACTTGAAGAGACTCTCGAGGAAGCGGCCGGGGTCCTGCAGCAGCCCCTTGCCTGGCTCCCAGTAGTCATCCACCTTGGAGCCTGGCCTGTCTCCTGGCACCTTCTTGGGCTTGATGCCCTTCATGATGCACACAGCTTCAATGACCAGCTTCACGCCCAGCGGGGGCCGCTGCATGGCGCGCACCTGTGGGCCGAGCGTGGGGCAGGGTGGGGAAGAGGGAAGCCTGTGACCGACGGGAACCTCCAGGCAGGCACACCACCAGGCAGCCTGGCCCCCACCAGCCAAGCCCCTCCTGCTCCAAGCACACTTATGGCTACTGCTCCTGCCTGGGCCTGTGGGCTCCTACGAGAGGGCGGGACAGGCAGCTGGGCTCCAGCCCTTGCTCTGCCCTCACCTCTTGGCACACGGCCCCCAGAGGGTGCAGAGAGGGGATCAGGGCCCAGGAGGACACCAGGGAGGGACACAGGAGGGAGTGCCAGGACTCGCCCAGCTGCCCACCTCAGTCACATCGCTCTTGTTGAGGTTGCGCAGGCTGGCCAGGGCCATGTCCAGAGCTGGCAGCGCCTCTTCCAGATCCTTTTGGGCATCGTCGGCAATAGCCTGTGCCTTTGCAGCCTTCTCCTTGGCCTTGATCTCTTCTGCCTGCACTGAATTCCGGGTCTCCTCAGCGATGGCTGTATCCACCTGGGGACACAAGACAGGAGAAGCCCGCTGGCAGCTGGTGGGAGGGGATGGGTGCTCCCTCCTCTGCCTCCTCCTCTCTGCATCCCGCAGGGAGAGGTGTCATCCCTGCACACGGGGGCAGGCCTCAGGGAGGAGGCCCCGGAGCACCCCAACCTTGATCTGCTCCATGGTGAGCATGGTGTCCCTGGCAGCCTCCTCCAGCATGGGGCGCATAACCTCCAGCTCCTCCTGCATCTTGGCCACGTCTTCGGAAGTGCGCAGGAGCTGGGGGTTGGGGCACAGAGAGGAAACCTGTGTGGCCTGAGAGAGACTATGGCCAGCAGCTTCAGCAGCCCCGGAGCTGCCTGACGGCCTCTCTCAGAAGAGGGTCGGCATCTGAGAATCTGTGGGGTACTCTGCTCTGGCCGTGCCCCTGGCTGGCTGCAGGGAGAAAGGCAGCCATTCACATATGCCGTTAGCTGCAGCGTGAAGGGCCATGTGGCAGAGCCATAGGCCTCACCTTGTCAAGGCCACTCTTCATGCGGTTTTTGGCCGTTTTCAGTTCCAGTTTCTTCTGTCCAATGAGGATGGAGAAAATATTGAGCAGCTCCAGGTAGCTCTTAGGGGTCACGTAGTTGTGGCGCGCCAGCTCCGCCAGGTACTCGACACACTTCTTGGCCACCGACTGGTGGATATACACGCAGACCTGGATCTGTATGTGGGGAGACCGCTGCCGCTGGCTGTGTGCTCCGTGCACACAGGCTGTGAGCTCCCACAGAGCTACCGCAGCCTGAGCCTGAGCCAGGAGTCTCCTGCCTCACACCCATTCCTCCTACGATTCCCACAACCTGCAGGTCAAGGACACCTATCATGCAAACAGGAGTGAAAAACCCAAGGTTGGGAGAAGGCGAGGGGCTGTTCAAGTTCACAGAGCTGGCTGTAAGGGTGGACCCAGGCATGTTTTGGCCCCGTGTCGTCGCAGCCCACACAAGCTGCCTCTCTCCCAGGGCTCTGGTGCCCATCTGGAGGCTGGGCCCAAGGGGAGGGAGGGCCCAAAGCATCAGCATGGCTGGGCAGGGAAATGTCAGGTTCAGCCTAGCTCTTGGCCCCCAGGCAACCACCCCTCTCTCAGGCTGGACTAGACCAGACCAATCTACCCACCCCAGCCTGTGTTCAGGGTGTTCTTTGAAGAAAGCTTCCCTGAAGCCTTTGAGAAAAATAGTAACCATGCAGCTGTGTGCCCCCATCCTGTTACCATGACCATCAGTGGCACCCCACTCTACAGATGAGAAAACTGAGGCTAAGAGAGCTATAGCTGTCTGACCAAAGCCTGACAGTGAGTAGTGGGCCTGGAATGCTCACCCAGGCCATGATGACCTTGAGCCTATGCCCCAAACCAAACAGTTCTTCCCAAGAACCTGCTCCTTACCACGACACCTACCAAGCCTCCCACTATTTTATAGGAAGCTTCCAGCTCTGGGATCTCATTCAGGAACATGGTGGCCACAGACTCCAGGGCCTCTGTCGGCCACTCATTAAACCAGTCGATGGTACAGCAGTTGACGAGGGAGGGAAACTGCCGCAGGCGAGCTCGGAAGACCTCTCCTATGGGGCTAGGGGTCCACGGATCCAAGTGAGGTCAGGCGTAGGAACCCAAGCCCCAGAGCCCTTTCCCCCAGCCCTGTGGCCCAGGAGCTGAGATCTTCACAGCACAGCAGCACTGCGGCCGGGCCTGGGCCCAAGCACCCCGGGTTCCAGCACCCGCAGGCGGCCGGGCGCAGGCGCCTGTACCTCATGCACAGCACCATGTGGATGTTGCTGCGCACGCGCCTGGTGTAGGCAGCCATGAGGTTGGCCTTGGTGGGCTGCAGCCCTTGCTCCTGGATGTAGGGCCGCATGGCGTTGAGGATCTGGTCCTGCTCGTCCATGGCGTACAGGTTGGGGATGTCACCCGAGTTGAGTATGTTGTTGATGTCCTCCAGGAAGGACTCGTTCTTGATCTGGGGTGGGGGGTGGGGGTGGGAAATGGAGCAGGGAGACAGAGCTGAGCCTCTCTGCTGGCCGCTGGGCTCCACGCTCTCACTGGGTCTCCACAATAGCTCCACTTTGCATATGATGCCGCTGAGGCTCGCCCAGGTGACCTCACAAGCACGACCCTGGGCTGTGGAGGTGGGGCCCGGTTTACTCAAGGGAGGAGACCACAGCCACCGGCAGAGACGGGTCCTCGCCCATCTCAGGTCGCCGGGGCTCTCCTACCCAGCTTAGCAGCTTCCTGTGGGGGCCCTGGGGCTGGCGTGGGCCTGGGCCCCAACACCAGCCACCAGCCAGGCTTCAGTGCTGTGCTGTTTGTCCTGTGGCTCCACAGCAAGGAAACCTCAAGCCTGGGAGCTCCAGAAAGAGCAGCCCCCAGGAGGGGAACCCTGGCTCCCCAGCACGTGGGGCACAGATCCTTGAGACAGCAGGTAGGGCGCCATGGTACTGGGGCTTTATTTAGTCTCGGGGCATGATCTACACCCCCCCACACACACTTAGCTCTTGAGAGGTGGGTCTGGCTTTCTGCTCCCAACCCAGCCCCCATCTGAATGCTACCTGGTCCTGGCGTTCTCTCCTGAGATCTGCCCCAACTGACAGCGAGCTGGGCATGCATGAGCCTGAGCACGAGCCAGGGTGCCCCCGCCACGAGCCCCACCCGGCGCCGAGGTGCTGGCACCTGAGTGTCTGCGAACAGGAAGGTGACGGGCAGGTTCTGCAGGCCGGCCTTCAGCAGGGCCTTCTTGACGTCATCGCGCCACTCGCTCAGGCCGTAGTTCTTGGACAGCTCAATCTGAAAGCACTCGTACTCGGCCCTGGAGGTGGCAGTTTGGGGTCCGGCACTGAGGGCTGTGGTGGGGGCCCGCCCCTCCCCCATCCAGCTGGAGTGCCACTCCCATCCCAGGCCCTGAAGCTGCTCTCTCCCCTCTAGCCCTTTGCCGGAGTTGTTCCCTTAGCCTGCAGTATCCTCCCTTCCCACCCTCCCAGTGCGGATTCTGAGGGCAGCCCCCCCGCCCCCCCACCAACACCTCCCTTCAGAAGGTCCCTGGGGTGCTTCCAGCTACACCCTTCTCCCCACAGCACCACAGGGCACCGCTGCCACCTCTCCCTGGAGCCTGGATCCTGTCTCCAGCCCTTCCAGAAGCCCACACGGGCTGGCTAGGTCTGCTCAGGGCTACCCCAGGCTCCCGCCACTACGGAAAACAAGGATTGGATGTACCATCTGCCCCAGCCACCCCGCTGCCCACCACGCCTGGGGCCCTCACATGTGCGAGGCAAGCCGTGTGAGGGAGCTGCGGCCGCTGCCACCTACGCCCAGCAGGAGCGCGTTGCCTAGTGCCTGGCGCAGCGTGCGGCTGATGCGGCAGATGTGGCTCATGGCGTCCATGAAGAGGACCAGCTTCAGCTTGGCCGTGTTGATCTGGTTGTAGTCCTCCATGTACTCCTTGATCACCTGCATCATCTGCGGCCGGGGCGGGCACCGGAGGGCCAGGTCTCCCCTGCTCTAGGGTCCCCTGCACATGCCCCCCACCCTGCTCTCCTCTCTGTCCTGACCGAGAAACAGGGCACTTTAGCCACTCTGCGACTGGCCAGCTGCATGTCTCCCCTGGAGGCCTAGACCTGACCCGGGGCCTTCAACAGTTCCAGGTGCGGACAAACACACTTGGGTTGTTGCTGAAAGCACTGAAAGCCCACCCAGGTGGCTACACACATGGCAGTCCGCGCTGCTCCCGGCCACAGCCCGCAAACCCTCATATAAACTCCACCGGCCGCCCCAGGGGACCACCTCGTCTCACTCTGCCAGGGGGAAGCCAGAGTGCCCTCTGCGCCTAAGTTCCCCTGATCCATGATGTGAGCTCATCACCGATGCGTCCTGCTTTGGAACCACCCAGGACTGGTTTGTGGCCCCTGCTGCCCTCTGGGCCCCATCCTGGTTTGCAGAGCAAGTCTCTGCAGGACTGAGGTTCACTCTCATTGCCAAGGAGCTGTACCCACTCAACAATGGGAGGGACAGGGTGGGGGGGAGGCCTGGGGCTCACCCGACATCCCCGAGCTGGCCTTCCTCATGCAGTGTCCTAGCGCGTGGCCCAGAGTGGGGGGCTGTCAGCGGCCCTGGGGCCCTCACCTTGGACTCACTGGTGATGAGCTCGTAGCTCTTGACGTCAGAGCCTGGTGACATGAAGTCCCCGTAGAGAATGGGCTGGGAGGGGCAAACCTCGTTGAAGGCCACGTCCCACCGTGCCATGTGGCCCTGGAGCAGCTCATCGAACCAGCCACAGTCCTCCTCATTCACCAGCCGGTCGCGGAACACGCGGCAGTTCTCATGGTACCACAGTCGCAGCAGCTGCACCTTGTCCTGCAGCCGCCCCGCATCAGTGCTAGCCATGGCCCTGGGGCCCTCAGCCACCCCTCAAAGCCCGGGGCTCCCGAGTCCCTGACCTGGGCCCAGCTCTCCTGCCAGGACTGCACCAGGGCCATGGGCTGGAGGGCGGGCCAAGTGCCCACTGAGCACCGGCTCCACTAACTGGCCGCAAGTGCCTCTAGGGCATCATCCCCCCCTCCCTAGGCCCCTCTAGCCTGGCCGGAAGACCAGGTTCTCTTTGCACCTGACACCTCAGGTCTCATCTTAGCTCGCCCCACGCCCCACGAACCTCCCCCTGAATCTGCCCCTCTCTGCTGCATCCCAGCGTCCCTGCTTCTCCCTGAGGACTGCACAGCCCGCAGGTAGCCCCAGGGCTCTTCTCTTAACCTACTGGCTACAAGCATGGCAAAGCCAAGGCCGACTTCTGTCCCTTCCACCCTCTCCCCCAAGCTATGGGCTCCACACACGCTGGCTGTTCAGTCCCACCCAAAGTGCCGGTCTGTCCCTCACAGCTCCTCAGGACGAAATCCAAGTTGCTGGCCCCTCACAGCCCCAGAGTCTGGTCCTCTTGCTGCCCAGTGCACCTGACACCCCACTTGCTGCTCCTTCCACCTGGGGGCCTCAGGTTCCTGGAAGGTCCCCTCAAAGTCTGCTCGCCCAGGGCCTCCACCAGAGGCCCTTTTTCTCCTCGGCTCCCCCTTTTGTATGACCCCCTCACAACTGCCTCTCCAGTAGGGGCTGACCCCCCCAAGATCAGCTCAGGGCATGAGGCCTGGAGCCTTGGGGGCCTACCAGTCCCAGCCCCTCAGCATGTGGCAGGACCAAGGCCCAGAAAGGTTTGGACAGGAAGGCCTGAAGTTGTAGGTTGAGGGCAGCGGGGGCGGGGGCTCCTCACCTCCACCTTGGCAGGGTTGGCCATGAGCATGCCCTGGAAGACCTTGGAGAGGTCCCTCAGGTTGAAGGTATAGTGGGACTTGGCTGGGGTGGGCAGCAGCTGGGAGGTGATGGTGGCATACACCATGACGGTAGCTTCCACCAGGGGCTCCATGAAGGGGATGAGATGGGGGGCCCCAGCTGTGGGCAGAGGAGAGTGGCCTGGATCACACAGGCGGCAGCTCCCCGGCAGCCTGCACACACCACAACCTCTTGCCTGTGCTCGCTCTGCCTTCTCTCTGGATGCCCCTCTGCAGGCTGCAGGCTTGGAATCCACGCACCTGAGCACCCGAGCCCACCCTCTGCAGGGCCTTCCTGATGTCCGCACCCCAGGACAGGGCATCTTCCGCTCTGCATTCAGCCCTCACAGGGCAGAGGCACTGGCACATCCCCTGGGATGGGGGCACCAGTGCACCCTGCCTGACGGGGCTGTGCCTCAGACCCAAACACTCCAGCTCCAAGCCACACACGGGGAGGGGTCACACAGCCCACACTGGCTGCAGGAGTGTTGGACTGTGGATGCGGGGAAGGCTGGAACTCAGTTGTGACTACAGGGCTCATGACACCCTGGGAGCTGCTACCACTGACACTGTGCCCCAGAGGGCAGGAGAGGGCTCCTCCAGGTATGCAGGTGCTATTCGGGGTGTTGGGCTTGGCGGGTGATCCAGGCACCTGACAGAGACCAAAGTGGCTACCAGTAGCTGGCTGGCTCACTGTGAGGGCCAGCAGGGCCAAGCTGCAAGAAGCCTCCACACAGGGGACACCTGTGCCCAGCCACATGTCGTCCCGTATCCTGCTCATGCCTGAGTCCTGGACAACACTGCCTCTCTTTGGAGCTCCAGGATGCCGCACAGGGCTGCAGTTTGTTGGATTCCTCTACTGGTTCATCCATTTTGTGTCTACTATGTGTTGGGCCCTAAACCCAGTGCTGGTGCCACCTGCCACTCTGGTCCCCAGTGGCCCGCGGTCCCCACATGAGCCTGAGGCCACTGGTCCCAGCCTCAACACACCTACAAGCCTAGGGCTAGCCTGGACCCAGCACCCTGGCCCCGCCCAGGCTGGTACTCACGCACAGGCTCCCAGTAACTTTTTTCTCCAAGGAGTCCACCTGTAGGGGTGAGGGAAAGACACCGGGTTCAGACTGAGGTGGGCCTCCTGCTGCCCAGTCTGGGAAGCTCTCAAAGCAGCCACTGCCACCTGACCACCTCCTCAGAGCAGGGAGTCGCCACCCACCCACACTGGACATGTGGACAAGTCCCAGCCTACCATCCCTGGGCAGGAGGAAGCGGAGACCTGGCTTCCCCCACTCACTGGACAATGCCCAGTGGAGTCCAAAGGTCAAGCAAGCATTGGGGTGAGAGGTGGGGTGCTGGGCAGACTTCTCCCCAGGCCCTGGAATGATCTGGGCCGTTCTGTCCATTCTGGTGCAGGGGCTTCTCCTGATTTACAAGAAAACTCTTCCAGCCGGCGCCGCGGCTCACTAGGCTAATCCTCCGCCTAGCGGCGCCGGCACACCGGGTTCTAGTCCCGGTCGGGGCGCCGGATTCTGTCCCGGTTGCCCCTCTTCCAGGCCAGCTCTCTGCTGTGGCCAGGGAGTGCAGTGGAGGATGGCCCAAGTGCTTGGGCCCTGCACCCCATGGGAGACCAGGAGAAGCACCTGGCTCCTGCCTTCGGATCAGCATGATGCGCCGGCAGCAGCGCATCAGCCGCGGCGGCCATTGGAGGGTGAACCAACGGCAAAGGAAGACCTTTCTCTGTCTCTCTCTCTCTCTCACTGTCCACTCTGCCTGTAAAAAAAAAAAAAAAGAAAAGAAAAAAGAAAAAAGAAAACTCCTCCACCAGAGTTCAGGACAAGCACTAACATCCAGAAGACTTCCACACGCTGGTGGAAAATGGAATTAAAAGGTGAGTTTGCTCTGGTGCTCAAGTTTCTTGAAATCCATGCCTAGCTTTTTCTTTCATAATTTGACTTTTTATTTTTTAAAGATTTATTTATTTTTATTCGAAAGTCAGAGTTACACAGAGAGGAGAGGCAGAGAGAGAGAGAGAGAGGTCTTCCATCTGATGGTTCACTCCCCAATTGGCCTCAACAGCTGGAGCTGCACTGATCCAAAGCCAGGAGCCAGGAACTTCCTCCGGATCTCCCACATGGGCGCAGGGGCCCAAGGAGTTGGGCCATCTTCCACTGCTTTCCCAGGCCATAGCAGAGAGCTGGAATGGAAGTGGAGCAGCTGGCTCCCATTTGAGATGCCAGTGCTTCAGGTCAGGGCATTAACTCGCTTTGCCAAAGCGCCAGCCCCTTGACTTTTTATAAAATGCATCTTCCATGAATTTAATTATTTTTTTTTTTTGAAGAAACAGAGGGACCAGAGCTGTATGGTAGTAGGCTAAACCTTTGCCCGAGGTGCTGGCAGCCCATATGGGTGCTGGTTTGAGTTCCAGCTGCTGCACTTCCCATCCAACTCCCTATTAATGGCCTGGGAAAGCAGTGGAAGACGGCCCATGTGCTCAGGCCTCTATACCCATGTGGGAGCCCTGGAAGAACTCCTGGCTCCTGGCTTTGGATCACCCCAGCTCTGACCATCGTGGCCATTTGTGGAGTGAATAAGAGGATGGAAGACCTAGGCTGGCGCCACGGCTCAATAGGCTAATCCTCCGCCTTGCAGCGCCGGCACACCAGGTTCTAGTCCCAGTCGGGGCGCCGGATTCTGTCCCGGTTGCCCCTCTTCTAGTCCAGCTCTCTGCTGTGGCCAGGGAGTGCAGTGGAGGATGGCCCAAGTGCTTGGGCCCTGCACCCGCATGGGAGACCAGGAAAAGCACCTGGCTCCTGCCTTCGGATCAGTGCGGTGCGCCGGCCGCAGCGCGCCAGCCGTGGCGGACATCGGAGGGTGAACCAATGGCAAAAGGAAGACCTTTCTCTCTGTCTCTCTCTCACACTGTCCACTTTGCCTGTCCAAAAAAAAAAAAAAAAAAAGAGGATGGAAGACCTATCTCTGTCTCTCTGTCTCTCTCTCTCTATAACTCTGCCTCTCAAATAAACAAATAAATCTTAAAAAGAAACAAACCAACCAGAGCCAGGCCTGGGCCAACCCAAAGCTGGGATCCAGGAGCTCAGTCCAGGTCCCACCTTGGGTGGTAGGAACCCGACCATGAGCAGAGGGGAGCCAAAGCTAGGAACCAAGCCCAAGTACTCAGGAATGGGACGCAGGTGTTTTAACTGCCAGGCTAAATGCCTGCCCCCCACCCAGGTAAATTCTCTGCAGACTCCCTGTCAAGGTACGTATATGCGGATAAACACATACACACATACCACAGATTCAGCAGTCACCACGTGCCAGGCTTTCTGAATGTTGCACACACAATACCTTACGAAACCCTCAGAAGTTGAAGTGGTGGGTAACCTAATATTAGCACCCATTTTAGAGACAAAGAAACTGAGGCTCAGAGAGGCCCCTGAGTTTGCCAAAGGAACAAAACTGAGGAAAGGAGCCGGCGCCGCGGCTCACTAGGCTAATCCTCCTTGCGGCGCCAGCACACCGGGTTCTAGTCCCAGTCAGGGCGCCGGTTTCTGTCCCGGTTGCCCCTCTTCCAGGCCAGCTCTCTGCTGTGGCCAGGGAGTGCAGTGGAGGATGGCCCAAGTCCTTGGGCCCTGCACCCCATGGGAGACCAGGATAAGTACCTGGCTCCTGCCATCGGATCAGCGCGGTGCACCGGCCGCAGCGCGCAGGCTGCGGCAGCCATTGAAGGGTGAACCGATGGCAAAGGAAGACCTTTCTCTGTCTCTCTCTCTCTCTCTCACTGTCCACTCTCAAAAAATTAAAAAACAAAACAAAACTGAGGAAAGGGTGTGGGTGGGCTTTCCAGCAGCCACCCGGCTGAAGCTGGGACGGCTCACCCGGCCCGGGCTTCTGCCTTTGCCCACTCAGTACTCACGCATCCAACTGCCTAGAATGGTGGAGAAGATGAGCTTCTTGCTGGCGTCGTCCATCTCGGCAAAGGACAGGTAGTTGAAGTGGCGCGTCAGCCGTGGAGTGATGGCATTCCTGCCTCCACCCGGAGGGCCCATGGCACAGACAAAGTTGATGTCCACCAGGTTCTTGAAGGCTCCTGAGGATAGAGCAGGACAGTCAGCCAGGGCCCTGCCTAGGGTTGCATTATGCTATTCACGGGCCCCTTCCTCCATAAGAAAACATTTAAACATCTGACTCCCGACACTGTTGATGTAAAGACAAATACTCATGCAGGCACAGCATACATGGCCATTTTTCACCGACAAGAAAGGTTCACTCTCCCCAAGTTTTAAGAGAAATCCAAGCAGTTTTATGGGTCACCAAAAGTATCACAGCCCTGGGGCCCTACACCTCCCATCCCGCTGCGGGCCCACGCCGCCACACGCACCGATCATCTTGCGGTCATACCAGCCGCCGTGATCCATCCACTGGCGCAACAGCTCGATGGGCGGCTGTGCGCCATAGGTCTCCAGGGCCGGCATGTTCAGGTCATCGATGAAGAAGATGAAGTTGCGCCCCAGGGGCGGCCCGAACACACCCTTCCGCCTGGAGGGAGAGGCTCTGTGAGTCCAGCCCCCGAGCGCAGCAGGTCCCCCAAGAAGCCAAGGGACGCCGGAAGGCAGCTCTGCCTCTGGGAAGCCCACTCCAAATTTCAGCCTCCTCCCAGCAGCTCTACCTCATGGCCAGCCCTGTCTCACTCTGAACATCTTGGCACATCACAGACTGGCTGGCCCAAATCTGAGCTCCTTTCACAGGGGGTCTTGCCTCCCAGGCATCTCGAGGGCACACAGCCCCACACAAGGGCCCACTCAGGGCAGGCACCCCCGGAGAAGCCCCCCAGCAGCTGTAGGCAGAGGGAAGGCTCTGGAGCCATGCACAGGGGAGCCAGGGCCCCTTGGGCGCTGCCAGCTCTCACTGCTGGTGGGGCGATGAGACAGAAGCTGACTGAGCTGGGCTGGGGTACGCTGCGGCTGAGGGAGTGAGGAGGGGTGCCCTGCCTCTTGTCCAGCTTGCTGTCGATGAAGTCCTGGGTCTGGTTGGCCGAGGTGCGGGCTGAGAAGGTGAGGAAGTGGCTGATGTACTCTAGTGGCAGGTTCTTGAGGAGCTTGTCAGAGATGGTGAGAGTCTTCCCGGTGCCCGTGGGCCCGATACACAGCACCTGCGAGAGCAGGCAGTGTGAGGACGGGACCCATACTCCGAGCAGCTGCCGCCCTCCAGCCTGGCCTTGGGGTGGCTTGTGGCACTCACAGGCTTGTGGCTGGTGAGCAGCATGCCCAGCAGGTAGGACATGCGTACGGTGTCCATGGTAGGCACGATGATGTTGCAGTAGTTGGTGTCGGGCACCATGGTGAATGGAGCTGAGGAGTCCATCCACTTCACCCAGGCGACCTGGAACCACAGCTGGCTCAGCACTGCCTGGGACCTCTCCCTGCGCCACTCCTGGCTGGGGCCCTGCTGCCCAGTGCACAGGGCAGGTGAGGAGCTCTGCTGCTGAGCCTCGACTGGAGAACCCAGGGGACCTATGGGTCCTCTGCTCTGATCTCTGCACGGGGTGGGGGCCCCCACCTCAACCCACCAGGAACAGGGCTCCTTGAATGCAGCTTTCCAGGTGGGAGCTGCCCTACATTCAGCTGCCCTGGGTGGGGGCCCCCCTGGGGACTACCTGCCCTGTGTCTCTGTGTGAGATTAGACAATCCCAAGAACAAAAGCATTTGCTGTTCAGACTTGAGGAGTGTGAGGGCCCAAGCCGTGGGTGCTGAGTCAGCTGGAGGGCATGACTCACCTGGCTTGTCCCTCCCATCATCCTCCCCCTTGTGTCCCTTCACCAACATCCATGGGTCAACTTACAGACCTCCCTTGAAGGAGACGCTCACCACGGCCTAACCAGGACATTCCCTGGGGGACGACTGTGACCTTGACACTCAAATGCACCCTGTGAGCCCCCAGCAGGACCCTGCACAGTCACCATAAGACTCCCATGGACACCTCTTTGCCCCCCTCCTCCTGGGCTGGGGTCCTGAACCTGGAATGAGGGTAGGCTCATGGAACCCTCGCTGCCTGATAACAGGGATGGGGTCATGGAGACAGGTCACAAGGGCTTGCCCATGACCCCTAGGGGGCCCAGGGCTCTGGGCAAATGGGGCTTTTAGGTTAACTGAGCTAGCTGGTCTGTGGGCTGAGCACCAGCACAGAGGAGGCAGCACGTGTGGCTGGGAGGGGAGGCACTCCGATGTCTCCCAGCCCCAGGTTCAAGTTCAGCTGTGCCACTGACCATGTGGTTGTGACTGCTCTGAGCCTCCATTTCTTTGTCTAGAAGACAGGCTGTGAGGATCCGTGAGATGACACAATAACCCCAGCCTGGGACCCAGGGGCAGTCACCGTTCACCCAGAACAGCTGGCACCCAGCGGGGCCCTCCCTGCCCTGGCCCTGGGGGCTCGGGGGCCACCTGCTTGTTCTCGTCCTCTTCGTCATCATCGTCGTTGGTGCTGCTGATGCCGGCGTCCTCCAGCCGGTAATCGAACACCAGCCCCTCTCCTGGGAACGGCAGAGCCAGCTGCCCAGGACCGGGAGAACAGAGCTGTGAGGCCCAGGAGGCTTGCTTGGCTGCTGGCCCCGGGGGGAGCCTGAACCGGGAGTGGCCACCTCTCACCTTTTCCACCGTCATCTTGGCCCTCAGCCAGTGGCTGAAGGCGACTCGGCCAAGGCTGTCCCCAGTGGCACCTACGCTCCAGACCAAGGAGAAGATGAACCAGGGCTCGACCAGCTCAGACAGGCGGCTCACCTTTTCAGACGGGATTTTCTTGAGGCCCTAGGGACAGAAGGAAGAGCATCAGGCTGAGACAGGAGCAGCAGCACTGCGAGGTATGAGGATGGCGGGGGGAGCGGGGGTGCTGTTCCGGATTTGTTTCTCTACAACACATCATCTCCCTCCTCACCCTCGCTGTCCTTGGCACTGCTGTTCCCAGGTCCTCCCTGAACTCCACGTGCCCCCCGCACCCCTCAACTGTCAGGAACCAGGAGGAAACCCAGGCATGAGGGCCCATGACCCACACTGAGCCCATCTGAGTCTCTCTTCCAGGAAGCTGGATTGGGCTGCAGCGCCCTCAGGTGGCCCAGATGAGGCGAGCAGGGGCAGGAGGGCCTCCCTGCATAACAGTACCTCTCGAGGCAGAAAGGGCTTAAAGAAGCAGTCCAGCAGCTTGAGCAAGCTCATGACCAGGTTGCTGTCGGTCGAGGAGATCACCTCCTTCACCGAGGACCGAATGAAGCTGATGGACTCCTGCAGCAGTGAGAACGGGGCTCTTGTGGCTGGGGGCCACGGAGCCGGCTACCCCACCTGGGCCGAGCACCCCCACAGCCTGGCCTACCTCCAGGAATCTGGCAGAGAGGCTCCGGAAATGCTCCTCGTGGGGCTTTAGCAAGGCAGGGAGCTTCCTCAGCCAGCACTCGACGAAGGGCATGAGCCCCAGGATGCTGGGCTCCAGGTACACCATGCCACAGCGGGACACAGTGGCCGGGGAGGCCACGGCCAGGTCCTGCACCTCGAACATCATGGTCATCGCCTGGGCCCAAGACAAACCATGTGAGTGGGCTGGCTTCCAGCCCCCAGGGCTGCCCACCCTGTGGGTAGGAGCTGAGGGGGCTGTCTAGGAACCTCCAGGCCCTCAGCTGGTCATGTGCCCTGCCCTGAAACCCTGAGGAAGAATCAGAGTCAGGTGATTCCTGGGGTCTCCAGCCAGCCTGGGGTTCTTGGAGGATGGGGTGGGGGGACCTGACAGGCTCTGCTCTGGAGCTCCAATCTTGGACATGAACACAAGGACAACAATGACAACCTGGTATTCTCAGAACCATTCAGGCAGTTCCACTCAGCCCAGACACCATCAGCTGCTCTCATGTGCAGGCCATAACCCTCTGTCTTGAGAACTGCCCCCAGCATGTATACACACACACACACACACACACACTCACCATGCAGGTCCCTGTACCAGGCCCATGCCACCTGTCTCTCAGACCTTGGGCTCGCTGTCAGGACTAGGTAGACACCTGACCCCAGCAAGGCTGACATAGCTGAAAAGTGGGCCTTGGGTGCACAAAGTTAGTCTTAGTGGGAAGCAGTGGGCCCTGGGCTTGGAGCATCACAGGAAGTGGGCCTGTGGGCAGAGCGCCCTGGGCAGCTGCAAAGGATGGACTCAGGCACAGGAGCTCGGGCTGAGGAGGGGTGCTGGGAGACAAGCCAGAGCTGACACTGGCTGGCCCCTGGGTAGGTCACCGTGATGGCCGAGGGTCAGCTTTGGCCCCGGGAGGCAGCTGTGGAAGAGGCTTGACCAACAGGTGCGGCCTCTGGGCCTGGCCAGCCACAAGCAGAGCAGGTGGGTGCACCTCTGTGAGCTTGATGATCTCCCCGGAGCTGAGGCACAGCTTCTTGTTGTCGTCCAGCACCGTGTTCATGTTCTCGATCCACACAGCGTCCACCGGCCCGTCAAACATGTACCACTTCTTGTTGGTGTCAGAGGCGACAGCCCCCACCCGGATGAGCGAGGGGAAGATGCCATCTGTCCTGCAGCCACCAGGGAAGAGAGCGCTGCAGGCCAGGGAGACGGGGCTGCGAGCATAACAGGCTCCCAGGGAAACCCGGCCCCCATGCTGGCCCTGCTGTGCTTCCTTCTCTTTCCTGAAATGCCCTCATGTGTTGAAAAATTATGTTATCAGGGGGCCGGCGCTGTGGCATAGTGGGTAAAGCCAGCCGCCTTCAGTGCAGGCATCTCATATGGGCGCCGGTTCAAGTTCCAGCTGCACCACATCAGATCCAGCTCTCTGCTATGGCCTGGGAAAGCAGAAGATGGCCCAAGTCTCTGGGCCCCTGCACCTGCGTGGGAGACCTGGAAGAAGCTCCTGGCCCTGGATCAGCTCAGCTCCAGCCATTGCGGCCATTTGGGGAATGAACCAGCAGATGGAAGACCTCTCTCTCCAGCTCTGCCTCTCTGTAATTCTGCCTTTCAAATAAATAAATAAATCTTTAAAAAAAACTATAACAGGAAAGATGGGGAATTCTTTGGTATCACATGGGGTAATGGAACTGTCTTCCCCTAAACAAGCTAAACAGGGAAATCCTGATGGGCACGAGGGACTGCAATCACAGAGCTGCTCTGGAAGACGGCACGGGACAGAGAAGGGTGACAGGCAGAGCAGAGAAAGGGACTGAGTCATGCCGAGAACCCTGGAACGCTCCTGCTCCAGAGGCTCCATGCCAAGGGAGGGACTGCTGGGGGTGACCAAGACTCTCTTGTGGCCAGACTCTACTGAGGCTCCTGGCCCTTCTCCTAGGTCCCTCTGTGCACTTCCTTGTTTGGTCCAGTTTTAGCAAAGAGTCCTGCTACCTCAGTCTAGCAAGACCCCCACCCCCAACTCTGATGCCTGATCACCCCTGAGATCCCTGCGGGAGCCCCAACCTCCACTACCTCCCACCCAGTCCATGTCTGATCACCTGGCCTTGTCTCCAGTGAGAATTCCCTGGGTCAGCTTAGCTGAGCCCCCTCTGACCCTGATCTGATGCTGCTTCTTTGTAAGGTTCCACTCCCTAGTCCCCACGCCCTGCCCCACATTGTAAACTTCCACTCGCCCCTGCCGTATTCCCAGTGGAGCCCAATCTTTCGTCCCCACTGCAGGACAGGCCCCTGCACCTGTCACAATGGTGCAAAGTGAAGTCTTCCTCGCTAGGCCTTAACAAGAGTTGCTGAATAACTTTGCTTTAATAGGACATTTACCTGGTCTGACCTCCAGATCCTCCCTGACCCCTCACCTCCTCAGAAATGGGGCAGCCAGGCCAGCCAGGCCCACAGTAGGGAAAACAGGTGACTCCTCTCCCCCAATCCACCTCCCACCTGGCTCCCACCAGGAGCCTGGAGGCCTTTTCTGGAGAAATACAAGAGCCCTGGAGAAAAGTGCCTTGGGGGCTGATGTGCCCTCCTCCCAGCCCCATGCACTGCCCCTGGGAGCAGAGGCCCCCAGCCTCTGTTGCGAAGAGTGGCAGCCAGTCACTGGTGTCTGTTCCGTGCCAAGTGCGCTGCCGGGCTCCTTCCACACAGCAAGCTCATCCCTGCCTCACCATGACGAGCGCTGACTGTCCTTCCCTTACAGTCCAGGGACACAACCCACCCCACCCCCCACCCCCCAGGAGGAAGGGAGGAGGAAATGGAATGGTGAGCAGAACCCAGGCTTTGGGTGGCAGAGCCAGGCTGGGGGAGGTCCCCGGGGCGCTCACCACTCGTGAGTAAGCAGGTCGAACTCCCCGTACAGCTGGCCCATCGTGATGGACTTGGGGTTCAGCACATAGTAGTTGACGGCTTCATACACGCCACCGCTGATGGACGGCTGCCCTTTGATTGACGTCAGGGCAGCTGCCAGGACTCTGTAACACTGGGAACGCAGGCCACAGTGGGCCAGGGGCCACAGGAACTGGAAAGGGGCATCCTAGAGGCCAGGGGACTCCTCATGGAGGCCAGCAGCCCTGCTGACGCCACCCCAGCCCACGGGCCCATGGTCCATCCACTGGGCCACCCGGCTCGGTTCCACCTACATTACTCTTGCCAGAGCCTGTGGGCCCGACGAGCATGAGGCCATGCCGCACCACCGTGGTCTCGTAGAGCTGGATGCACTTGGTCATGAAGCCTGAGGGGACACAGCGGGGATCCCAGGCATCACGGCAGGGGCTGAGTCCCAGCTCCACCACTAGCTTGCGGGACCTCCGGCACATCACTTCACTCCCTGAGCCCCAGGCCCCTCGTCTGTCAAACGAGGACAGTGGGGGCACCTCTCTCACAGGCAGGGGCAGGCGAAGCACTGGGCACAGAGAAGAAACTTTCTAGATGCCAGGCAGTGTTCCTATCACTATAATCCCCCAGCTCCCACTGTGCAGGTGATCAGCCATCAGGCCTGCCTGGGGTCAGCCATCGCAGGTCCACAGTCAACACTAGTCTCAAAGTTTCTGCCCAGCCTGCTGAGAGTGCCAAACCCAGTAAGTGCTGGCCAATATGAGGCAAAGCCCTAGCGAGAGTCAAGAGCTACGGGGACAGCTGCCAGCCGCAGGCCTACATGGGTGGGGAGTGAGTGTGTAACTCTGGCACGATGCTCTAGCACTGCAGATCCAAGGGTCCCTGCCGAAGAAATGGAACCCAACTACCCTGGGATGGCCAAGCTGACCCAGGGCTACAAGGGACCAAGAGTCTAGGCCTTTATTCAACACTCTCCCGGGGTCGAGGGCACGAAACGTGGCCAGGGAAGGAAGCATTAGAGCCTCCACTGAAGAGCAATGGAGGGCATTGGAGGGGGCCCTGCATGAGCAGATCCACTGCTTGGGTTCCAGAGGGGGCCCCTGAGTGGCCAGCATGGCATCAACATTTCCCAAAGGATGGGTTGGGAAGAGAGAAGGGGGGAGCCAGGCCAGGGGCTGGGAGGCAAGAACTCAAGTGGCATGCACCTGCAGCGATGGGGCGAGAGCTTCGCCCTCCTAGCAGGGAAGGGGTTCAGGCTCAGAGGGAGTCTGACGGCAGTGGTATCAGTTCAGGAAGGGCCCAAATGCTCCTCCGTGCCATGACACCGGGACTGCTGCTCCACAAGGAGCACAAGCAAGTCCACCAGCAGGATGGAAACTGAGCAGCCTGCAGCAGAGGGGACTGGTGACTGCGGTGAGGTGGGGTGGGGGATACGGAACGAGGCACTCAAGCTCCCTCCCACCCAAGCAGGTAAGGACAAGGCAAGGGGCTGGGGCCTGCAGAAGCAAGGCCTGGGAAGGGACCGAGGGCTGGGCTGCTCCTCACACGGGGTCTCGGGAACAGAGCAGTAATTGCTTCCCCATCACCTGGCAGATTCTAGCCTGTCAGGGCTAAGGGCACCTGCTCTGGCCCTGGACCATTCAGCCAGGAGCCCCAGCCTGCTGCACACTGAGGCTGGCCTGCCCTGCCCCTGCCACCCAGGTGGTCAGAGCCAGCCCCTCATCAGATGCTGTGGGCCAGTGGCTCACCCTCCACATCCTTGAGGTTACTCTTCTCACAGGCCTTGCGGATGGCTGTGTCCAGGATGCCATAGTTCGTTTCCTCCTCCCTGATGGTGGGAAACAGGTCGGACACAATCCCAGAGAAGAGCTTGAGGTCCTCCTGCAGGAACTTGGGCACGTTCACATCACGGATGGCCCGCAGGCAGATCAGCTCCTGCCGCAGGCACCGGCACGGCCGTCAGCACAGGGCGCAGGCCGCCAGCTTCCTCCAGCTGCCACGAAGCCCTCCTGGAGCCCCAGCCCCTGGAGCCCCCACCCTGGGATGGAGCGCACCTCATTCATGCTGGGGTTTTCTCGTTTGAGGTTTCCGGCAGCCGAGATCACGGTCTTCACGGCTCTCATCCCGAAGTCGTAGTGATCCTGTCACCAGCAGCAGGGGGAGGTGTGGGTGGGCACTGTCTCTCAGGGGGCTTCTGCCTGGAACACTCTGCCTCCCACCTGGCACCTGGCCAAACCTCAGTGCCCAGCTTGCCACTACAGGCCCTCTGTGCCTGCCCCCACACCCTTCCCTGGGCTGCATCCCCTCTGGCGCCGTTACTTCACCATCCCACCATCTCCCCCTTGACCGGGTCGCCCATTCTGCATCCGCAGATCAACTCTACTTTGGCCACTTCCACAACCCTGCAGTCCTAACACAGCACCGAGGGCACGGAGGGGTCACCCATCTGTGCGTCCACCTGGAGGGCCTCCGTGACCCTGAGCCTCCTTCTGACTTCCCCCGCCCACCTGTTAACCTCTCCAGGCCTGTCCTTCCAGCCACACCTCCACAGCTTTTCCTGCTGATTCTGCTTCTCTCCATCGTATGAGGGTGCTCTGAAAACCTCACGGAGGGGCTGGCACAGTGGCATAGAAAGCTAAGACTCTGGCAGCAGCACTGGCATCTCGTGTGGGTGCTGGCTTGGTTCCGCCTGCTCTGCTTCCCATCCAGCTCCCTGCTAATGTGCCTGGGAAAGCAGTGCAAGATGGCCCAAGTGCTTGGACCCCTGCTCCCACATGGGATATCTGGAAGAAGCTCCTGGTTCCTGGCTTTGGCCTGGCACAGCCCTGGCTGTTGCAGCCATTTGGAGAGTGAACCAGTTGGTGGAAGATATCCTCTCTCTCTCTCTGTACCTCTACCTCTACCTCTACCCCTACCTCTGCCTCTGCCTCTGCCTCTGCCTCTGCCTCTACCCCTACCCCTACCCCTACCCCTACCTCAGTATCTCTGCCTTTCAAATGCATAAGTAAATCTTTAGGGGAAAAAGAGAAAGAAAAGTTCATGGTAAAATGGAATTAAAAGTATGGGCTTTTGGGGCTGGCGCTGTGGCACAGTGGGTTGAAGCCCCAGCCTGCAGTGCTGCATCCCCTATGAGTGCCAGTTCAAGTCCCGGCTGCTGCACTTCTGATCCAGCTCTCTGCTATGGCCTGGGAAAGCAGTAGAAGATGGCCCAAGTCCTTGGGCCCCTACACCTGCTTGGGAGACCCAGAAGAAGCTATTGGTTCCTGGCTTTGGATCAGCTCAGCTATGGCCATTGCAGCCATTTGGGGAGTGAACAAGCAAATGGAAGACCTTTCTCTCTCTCTGGCTCTACCTCTCTTTGTAACTCTTTCAAATAAATAAAAAGTAAATCATTTTTTTTAAAGTATGACCTTTTTTGGGGATAATTTTCTCTTGGAAAATATGTATTACAAAAAACTGTGGGCCGGCGCCGTGGCTCAATAGGCTAATCCTCCGCCTGCGGCGCCAGCACCCTGAGTTCTAGTCCCAGTCGGGGCGCCAGATTCTGTCCTGGTTGCTCCTCTTCCTGTCCAGCTCTCTGCTGTGGCCCCGGAGTGCAGTAGAGGATTGTCCCAAGTGCTTGGGCCCTGCACCCGCATGGGAGACCAGGAGAAGCACCTGGCTCCTGGCTTCGGATCAGCACAGTGAGCTGGCCACAGCGGCCATTGTGGGGTGAACCAATGGAAAAGGAAGACCTTTCTCTCTGTCTCTCTCTCTAACTCTGCCTGTCAAAAAAAAAATAAAAAACTGCATGAATTTGAGAGAGCGAACAAGCGATGAAACAGGGAGCAATGAAATACACCGGTTCGTGCCCCAGATGCACACAACAGCCAGGGCTGGGCCAGGCCAACTCCAGGAGTCACGAAATCAATCTGCGTCTCCCGGTTAGGTAAACAAGGAGCCAAGTACTTGAGACATGACCAGTGCTCCCAGGATGTGAATTAGCAGGAAGCTGCATTAGAAGTAGAGCTGGTACTCACGTGTGGGCACTGACAGGGGATGCACACATCTCAGTCTTAACTGCTCTGCTAAATGCCTGCCCTGATTCATACTGCTAATACATTTTCCACCAACTTTTTGAAGTATCCTTGTATAGTGAAAGTGTTGGAAATTGCTAACACTGTCATTCTGCCCCGTGGCACACGACGACCTGGCTCACAGACCAGTGCATGTCCAGATATCCAGGACTTGGAACCACATGAAGAGACCAGCCTTGCCTCTGGGACATCCCACTTGGGAAGGGGGCACCAGCTGGGGTAGCTGCTCTAACAGGGGCAAGGGGTACTCTTCGAAGTAGATGATCAGAAAGAAGGGGCCGTGGGGGTGACAGCCCCCGGGGTGCCCTGTGGCACACCCAGTAACAGATGGCATCTCTTTTAACCCAAGGGTTTTGGTGGGCTACAGCTGGCCAAAGGTACCACTGTGCGCCCCTGGCCATGGTGACTGGTATTCATAGAAGAGCATATGACCCAGAGAAAATCCTTTAGGGTGACAACAGGATTTTTTCTGGAATTATGACAGACAAAGCTGGTAGCACGTGAGCCCAGCAGCAGGGCCTGGCTGCTGCAGAGGGGCAGTCTGTCTGCAGAGGCAGCCAAACAGAAAGCTCCTCCGCCAGTGCTGGTGCCAGGCCCAGCCCTCCTCCCTGCGGGGCAGTGGGACCTGGCTGTCATGTCCTGGTCCGCACAAGCTCCCAGCCCTGCGCTGCTCACGTCCCCCGATGATCCTCCCTCCTTGCCCGTGACCTAGCCAGTGGGCATCTGTCCCTGGTTTCTGCTCCAGCTCCACCAGGCACTGCACAAGCCTCGCCAGGATCTTGGCCATGGGGATCTCAGTGTCCTTGGCTAAGGGACAGGGATGCAATTCCTATCTCACAGGGTTGTGAGCAGTCCACTAGCCAATTCTTGTAAAGCAGCCAGCACGGAGCCTGGCCCTTGGCAGATGCTCCACACAAGATGGATTCAGAGCTGCCCTGGAGCTGGAGAAACTGGTCAGGGCAGGGCCTCACCTGGGAGCTGAGCTGCTCGGAGGACAGCTTGAAGGTGGTCGTGATCTTCTTAGCCAGCACGCTGGCCTCATTGAAACCAAAGGAGTAGAGGGAGATCTCGGCGATCATGGCATAATCAGGAACCATCATGGCCACAGGCCGGAAGAGCGCCTGGGGCACATGGAGCTTGTGTGGTAGGCAGGCACACCTCACCCGCTGGGGCGCCAGTGGGAGGCCCTCCTCCCCACCACATCTCGGCTCCATGCCTGCCCTAGCTGACGGTCACACTGCCCGTCGCTGGGGAGCTCTGCCTAAGAGAAATGGATCACTGTATTGATCTGAAGCTGCCCCCAGGTCACTCTGCTTGGCCCCTCTTGGCTCTGTCTGCCCATTTCTCCTGCAGGGCCAGCCCCAGCAGGTCCCATCAGATGCTCCCCATCACGTGCACACAGACCACCCTGGCTTCCTCCATGCCCCTCCATGGAGAGGGCTGCCATGGAGGATCATGGTCCCTGAGGCCAAGCAGCTGGGCCTGCACCTGCCTTCAGATTGTCAGGGAGCTCCGTGCGGCCAGCATATCCAGGGTTCATGGTGATAAACACTGCGCACGAGGGCACGAGGGGGATCTCGACACCTTCAAACATGAAGCGTTCCACCTGTGGGGCAGGGGGACAACTCACCTGGGGCAGGGTGAAGGGGAGGGGATGTGCTGACCCTTCCTCTTTCAAAGAGGCCCCTGTCCCCTGCTGATGAGCCCCGTTGCTCAGGGACAGCTTGTTTCAGGATCTGGCCTATTTCCTCAGGTCCCAGTGGCCCACCCATGGCCTCACAGGTGCTGGCTCCAGCCCCTCTGAGGTCTCCACACATCTCCTGCTTCCCACACCCTCCACCCCCAAATGCTGACACCGACACCCCAGACATATGCACACTCAGCCTCAACTAAGGCCCTGGGCCTTGGCTCGGAGCTGGGGGTGGGGTCTCTGAACTCTTGTCCCCCGGACGATATTCCTGGTTAGGGAGAGTGACCGTGCCTCGGGCTTTCCATAAGAGTCAGGACGTAGGAAGGACCACTTCATCTGCTGCCGCCTGGCCTGGGTGCCACCCACAGACTGGCATGAGGTGTGGCACTTCCTGAGTGGCGACACAAGCCCTCTAGGGGCAGCTGTGTAGGGGCAGGGGGACGGCGCCACGCCCTCTATGAGACATGAGCAGGACTGGGGGCAGCCCCAAGGCTTGGCCTCTCCCTGCTGTAGCACGGCAGCCGCACTGCGTGGCATGGCAGCACAGGTGCTGTCGCTGAGGCTCACCCGCTGCTGCTGTGCCTTCTGGATGGTGGTGATCTGCTGTGCCACCACGGACAGCACCTCAATGTCAATGCGATTGAACTCGTCGAAGCAGGCCCAGGCCCCAGCACTAAGTGAGGACAGAGCATGGTGTGGGCATGCGCATTCAGAGCCTACCTGGCCCCTCCTGCCACGGGCGCCCTGGACTGCCATGGAGGAAGCCCTCAGTAGCAATCTCCACCCACCCACAATCTCACCCTTGGTGCCGCCCTGTGCCTGCCGGGGCTGAGCCTTTGAGCCACAGTATGCCATCTGTGCTCCTCACCATCCCGGGATGCTGCTCCCAGCAGCACCCTTGTTTAGCCCTCCCCAGAGAGCAGTCCTATGACACCCACTCACCCAACCTCACCTGGCCAGGCCCTTGAAGAACTTGCCCATGGCCATGAAGTCGAGCTGGTCAGAACAGTTGAACACAACTGTCTGGATGGCCAAAGCCTTGCCCAGGTCTTTAGTGGTCTCAGTTTTTCCTGTGCCAGCCGGGCCAGCTGGAGCACCCCCAAACTTGAGGTGCAAGGCTCCAGTCAGGGTGAGGTAGCACCTGCACGGGTGACAGTGGCAGTGGCATAGGTCCGGGGATCTCCACCAACACAGGAAGAGCCTGTTCCTCTCAGGTGCCATAAATGGACAGCTCCCACCCCTCCCCACCTCTCAGGGCCCAGCGTGCCCAGCCCTGGCTGCTGGGGTCAGGACTGGAGTCCACAGCCACCTCCCTTGCTTTCCCTGGCCCCTGTGATGGCTCTACATAGCTTTGCTCAGGGCCCCGCTGGGATGGCTGACCCTAGCTTCATTTCCCTTGCTCAGAGCCCTGCTTGAAAATCCATGTGGCGCTAAAGATGGCTGACAAAGATGAACTCACTGATTGCTTTAGAACAGAGTTGTTCACGTTATGAAAGGATGTGCCCTTGCCCTCTCTCAAGATCAATTCCTCTGACTGCTAAAAATAGCAATGCTCACGCCCATTGCCCACTTAGTGAGCCCCGCACACACACCAAGAACCTCATGTACATTAGCCCATGAAATTCTCATAGCCAGCCCCAGAAAGGCCCCAGAACAAACTGAGGCATGGAGAGGTTGTGTAACCAGCCCAAGGTCACTCAGCCTGTGACAAGCATAGCCAAGTTCTGAACCCAAAGTTCTTGCTTCTGATCCTGCCCCACCTGGCCACGGTTCCGGATGCCTGGGCCAGCGAGAGCTGCAGTAAGGCTGTCCCATGGGGAGGGAGGACCCTCACCTGTCTGTTAGGGGCGTGATCACCAGCCTCCCGCTGTTGCCTAGGTACTCGTAGCCATAGATGAATTCAGCATTCACAGCGCGGATGTACAGGTTGTCATTGGTCCAGTAGTACCTGGAAAGGCAGCAGGATGGGCTCAGGGTCTGCCACTGAGGACAGGGGAATGAGAATATCAGGCGCCTCTGCCCAGCTTGCCGCCGAGCCTTGAGGGCAGGAACCCACCTACCGTCAACAGACTCTCTACGCCTCCCCACATGGGACCCTCGCAGCCGTGCGGCCCTGGGGGGCAGCCCCCACCTGAGCTGGGAGATCCACTCGAAGTCATTCACGCTGACCACGTGCTCCCGGATCAGCTTGTTCACGACCTCCTTGGCGTGGACCTCAATGACGATCAGTGCTGACAGCACTGCCCGCTGCATGCGGGACAGCTTCCCCCGCACCAGGGCCACCAGGTCACTGAGCTGCGGGCATGGGGGCACTGTCACAGCCTGCACAGAGGGTGGGCTTCCCTCAGGAATAGCCCCTCTACCAGGGGATTTGGGATGCTCTGGGACAGGGCGGAGCAGCACCGGGCAGCAGGAGGTAAACAAACGGAGGTGTGCACATGGCATCTGTCTCCCCGCAGCACACATGGCGGAGCCTGGTGAAGAGTTGGTGCTTGGAGCAAGGGTAGCCCGAAGGACAGCACAGGAGGTATGCACCCCCTCACTGTCAGAAGAGGGGCACCTGCCTGGCCTGAGCCCTCCTATTGGTGGCTGGTTGTGAGCAACTCATTGCAGGGATCAGGTGACCTCCTGTTCTCTGCACCCAACCTTAAGCCTCTTCCCAGGTTCAATGGAGGAAAAGCTCTTAAGCCGGCCTCTTGTCCAAGTGGACGCGGTGTGGGGTGGGGTGAGGGGAGCAGACAGGGGTCCTCTCGGCCCCCACCTGCTGGGAGAGCTGAGGGAACAGCCGCATACTGATGTCTCCAGCCTCCAAGGCCTTCTCCACCTCCATGGTCCAGTAGGTCTGGCATCCAGCGATGGTCACCTGGCCAGGCCAGTTCAGAACCCACTGGGTCCTGGGCATCTGGGAAGACAACACAGGCAGGCTGACTCAGGCAAACTGCCAGCCCACATCCTGTCCCCACTTCCTGTCATGAATGTTGCCTGCGCTTTGCCTGTCAACCTCTCGGCTTGAATGGTAAGCCCACAGTCCTGCCAGAGCAGAGAAGCCATCAAGCCCTGGCCTCTGGGGGATGGGCAGAGCATCACTTGTGCAGCAGAGAGGACAGTGGGAGCAGCCAGGCAGGGGCCCCGCATCAGGAACGTAGTCCTGGGTGCACACCTCTGCACGTGCTCTGGCCATGAGGCTGAGAGCAGGGATGCAGGCACCGAGAGCATCCCCAGCAGTCCTCCCCTCCAGAGTGCAGGGGAGGGAGAGCCCAGATCCCGCCCGAGCCCCCTGAGTCCACAAAGCTGAGAGAGGGGCAGCAGGCAGGCTGGCTGGGGGCCAGGCCTGGAGCTGTGGCTCACCACGGGGTAGGCCTTGATGGCCCTCTCAATGATGTCACGCACGCTGCCCTTCATGCTGTGCTCCACCTCCCGCAGCCAGTCCTCCACGTTGCTCAAAGGGAAGACGGAGACAGACAGGCGCACCTCCTCACCCTCCGCCGAGTACATGTGTGTGATCTCCAGGTCCTCCTGGAACAGCAGCTGCAGGCGACAGGACAGCGGGCGGTCACCTTGCTGTGCCAGCTCTGCTACCGTGTCTGGGGGTGTCCCCCAGGCGAGCTTCTGCCCACCCCTGCCTGCAAGTGGGCAGGAAGGGTCTGCCTCAGCCCAGCGCAGGCCCGGCTCACAGCTGGCAGCCCGGGGAGGGGGCTGAGCCGGCCTCTCCCTGTGTCCCCACCCTACACGGGGGACCACCAGGGCCCAGGCTCCAAGTCGGATTCTGTCCCACATGTGCAGCCTCCTTCACAGCGGAGGGGAGGGCAAGGAGGGTCCCAGGCCTCTGGCCTCACAGGTTCCTCGACTCAGCCATGAGCATGCTGAGCATGCTGGGGGGACAGGGAGCCCCTGAATGAGCCGGCATCCAGAGGCCCCTGCCCTGAGAAGGGGGCTCTGCGGCTGGCCTCCCTCCCCCAGGTTCCGTGTGCATCTCTGAAGAATCTCACTTCCCACCTCATTTCTCGCTAAGAGGGCCTGGCGCCAGAGGAGAGACACTCTCCGTGGCAGGTGCCCAGTGCTCCCGGCCCAGCCACCCACCCGGGCAATGTTCTCGAAGCACTTGCGCAAGTGGGGCTGCACGGCTGTGGGATCCTTCGTCTGGGACAAGATCTCTAGCAGCTCGTCATCTGACAGGAAGTAGAATCTGCCCAAGGAAGGGGGTAGTGGGGTGGGGGAGATGGTCAGACAGGTACCCTGGGCCCCAGCACCACCGACACCCCTGTACCCAGGCCTGGGCAGAGCACTCGGTCTCCTGGCCTTGCAGGCACATGGTAACAGGGTGGGCGTGAGCCGCGGTGCCCACCTGGGGAAGGCACTCCGCTTGGTCTCCAGGTACTCGCTGAGGCCCTTCTGCACCAGGTCCAGCAGCTTGTTGCAGTCCCGCAGGCTTTCCAGCAGCCTCTGGTCAGAACACACATTGATCACCTGCAACATCCGGGCCAGGGGAAGTGGACATGAGCCTGGGCCAAGCGGGAGGCAGGCAGACTAGAGCACCCATGGCAGCCAGGGACCCTCCATGGGGCCTGGGAAGAAAGTGGGCAGGAGAACTACCTGGGGCCAGGAGCTACAGGGGGAATGTATGCACAGGGGAAAGTTCTAGGATCAACAAAACCACCATCAATTAAGCTGAGGCTTTGCTGCAGGGCTGGCCAGGCCCTCTTGGAGCCAATGTGACAGCAGCCATCCAGTGGAAGACCTGGCAGCTGCTTTGTTTGTGAGGAGCACCTGTGAGACCCGGGAGCCCACCCCAGAGGCCCTGAGCCACGACGGAAGACTCAGACTTGTCCTCATGTCATTGAAGAGACCAGGAAGCTCCCAACAGTGTGCGCAGGGGCCCCAGTGCCCCAGGCACAAGGCCCATCCCACAGAGCTCGCCTCCCGGTTCTCGTAGGCGTTCCGCATGATCTTCCTCCAGATGCGCTCCATCGTCTGGTAGCGCCTGCTTTCCACCGGCAGCTGCCGGTTGATGTCCTCGGAGCTGAAGATGGGCTCCAGGTAGAGCCAGGACCGCTGGCAGCTCAGCCACTCCTCCAGCACTTCCTGGGACAGGTGGGGCAGGATGGGGACTGTCAGGGTCTGTGGTCCTAGTCAGGTTCTGTCCCTGAGCAAAACAGCTCATCCCACCGGTGCCGGGCAGAGCTCCAGGCACCACGGCCAGTGTCCACGGCCAGTGTCAGCCATGGCATTCCAGGGGACAAGCAGGATGTGGGGGTGCCTGCCCTCTCAAGAAGGCCCACAAACCATGTGGAGCAGCCATGCCTTCCAGAGAGCCAGGGAGCTGCTGTGCCCTGCGAGAGGACCACACCCAAACCAGCAAACCCTGAGGTGACAGAGGAAAGGACCTGGTGCTCAGGGGACCAAACCAGTCTCCATTCCTGGGAGGACTTTTGGGGCCATGCCCCAGGAATCTCTGAGACCCCTGAACTGCTCTCTGACGCAATCCGAGAGTGGGACACATGCAGCACGGGCCACAGGCCCCAACCAGGACTTAGCTCTTCTCATCTCCTAATAGTGGAAACTCACATATTCCTTCAGCTCTTATGAGACATGTGCCACAGTCAGCTCTGCACCAGGCTGCCGCTGTGGGTAACGGGAGAAGCAGGAGGAGAGGACGTGGTCCCTGCTTCCGAGGGGCCCACAGTTCTCAAAGGGTGGGTTCTGCTCCCAGTCTCCAAGGCCCGGTACTTGCTGCGAGCCTCCTGGGAACACCTTGCAGGCGGGTGTTGGCGGGGAGTCAGCAAAGCTGACTGGTGCTGAGCCTTGCCGATGGAAGGTGGGCTGAACCCCAGGTGGAAGGGCCGGTGGGCACGGGAGGGTGAATAGGCCTCTCCAGGCGAGCCAGAGGGCCTGCAGGCCAGCCCTTCTCACCTGGCTAGGCAGCTTACGGGACAGGGCTCCTGGAGGTGCAGGAGGGAGGCAGCGAGGACGGGCAGCAGGGCCCACCTGGGTCAGCTTCAACTTGGTCTCCCAGGAGTTGATGCGCTGCTCAAAGGGCTTCTTGTAGGGTGAAAAGGACATGCTCTGCGTCATGACGATGTGGTCGTCCAGCAGCTGTGAGGCCTCGTCCGGGCTCTTGAGGATATAGGTGTCCGTCTCCTTGTAGGGCAGCACGTTGAACAGGATGCTTGACCACTCCTTCTCCATCTTGTCCAGGGCCTGCAGTGGAGGGCGTGTCCAGGCTGGGGCCCAGGAAGGAACTGGGCAGCACGCAGCCTGCCCAGCACCAGGCGGGCAAGAACAGCTACTGCCTAGCCTGGTACCTTCACACTGGCCCCCGGGAAAACAATCTCAGCCCTTCTGGTCGACAAGTCGCCCACCTGAACTCATGGCCAACTCACTCTCAAAACAAGCATGGACACGTGTCTTGGATGGCAGCTAAGGCACTGGTCCCAGCTCCAGGGCTTACTGGCTGTGTCACCCGAATCTCTGAGACTTAATTTGTTTATCTGTTAAATGACGATGTGGAGGGCGTTTGGCACAGTGGTTACACTAATGCTTAGAATACCAACATACCACCTCAGAGCACCTAGTTCAACCCAGCTTCTGCTGAGGCACCCTTGGAGGCAGCAGGTGATGGTTCAAGTCCTTGGGCCACTGCCACCCACATGGGAGACCCAGATTGAGTTCTTGGCTCCTGGCTTCGACCTGGCCCAGGCCTGGATGTGGTAGGCATTTGGTGAAATAATCAGTAGATGCAAGAGCTCTCTCTCTCTCTGCCTTTCAAATAAAATGAAAATAAGTTTTTTAAAAAACAAGGAAAGGGGGCCAGCGCTGTGGTGTAGTGGGTAAAACCACCACCTGTGGTGCCGGCATGTCATATGGGCGCCGGTTTGAGTCCTGGCTGCTCCACTTCCGATCCAGCTCTCTGCTATGGCCTGAGAAAGCAGTGGAAGATGGCCCAAGTCCTTGGGCCCCTGCACTGGTGTGAGATACCCAGAAGAAGCTCCTGGCTCCTGGCTTTGGATCAGCACAGCTCTGACCATTGCGTCCAGTTGGGGAGTGAACCAGCGGATGGAAGACCTCTCTTTTCCTGCCTCTCCTATATCTGTGTATCTGTGTAACTCTTTCAAATAAATAAATAAATCTTTAAAAAACAAAAAAGCAAATAAACAAACAAAACCAAGGAGAATTCTCTCAGCTCCTTCCTGGGGATCTTGAGAGGAGTACGGGGGAGAAACAGCAACAGTAGGCACCTTGCCAAGCACCTCACACACATCATTAACTCTTAACAGAATGCACCTCAACCGGTGAACCTGACACTCACTGCTGCGGTGCTCCTAAGAGGCTGTCACAGCAGGGGCTGAAGGTGAGGCTGTCTGGCAGGGCCTAGGCAGGGCGGGGTGGCACGGCGCGGGCCTGGGGGCAGCTGCCCACCTGCTCGATGGCGTACTCCTTGCCAGCCACCTCGGCCACCTTGCTGATGCTCTCAATGTGGTCCTGCAGGTTCATCTCGAGGCAGCGGGCAAAGGTCAGGTTGGCCTTGGGCCTGACGTTGATGTTGATCTCGTTGGACAGGACCTCCCAGTGGCGGTTCCGCATGCCAGGGTTGCGCAGCCCCTGGATCAGCGGGATGTACGGCTTGAACTCCTCGATGCGGGCTCGGATGTCCAAGGCCACGTCCTGGCAGGCTGCAGCGGAGGGCGGGTGGGTGTGAGAGGAAGCCGGCATGGGTGGCCAGGGAGGGCACAGGCTGGCCTCGCTGCCTACCTGGGATGTCCTTGAACTGCTTCACACACTTGTGCATGGTCTTGAAGGACTCCATCACGTTCTTTTCCAGCTGCTCAGCCTCGATGGCGGACAGAGGGTCATTCATCCAGCTCTCGGACCAGCGCAGCCAGTCAGAGGCCGTGGTCCACAGGTCCAGGTAGGGCTGGAACTCCTTCACCATCCTGGAGAGCTTGTCATACTGCAAGGGGCAGGTGCAGGCAGAGGCTGCCTTGGGACCCTCCCCGGGTTCTCTCTGCTGCTCCTCTCCCTCACTTGCTCCCAGCAGCTATCCACGCTTCTCCCACTGTGGACCCAGGCCTGACCTCCCTTCTTCCCAGGGGCCACCTCCCACAGCAGCCTGCTCAGCCCTGCCCCCTGCTGGGTTCTGAGGTGGCCGCAGCCTGGGGAGCCAGGTGCTCGCCGAGGCCTACGTTGGTGATGGGCAGGCCAAAGATGCGCTCGCGGTTGTTGTAGAGCATCGCCAGCTGCTGGCAGTCCTTCAGCTGCTTCTTGACCCGCCGCACCTCATTGGCTATCTCATGTGCTCGTGCAATCTCCACGTGGGTGGAGAAGCCCGCTACCACCAGCTGTGGGCCATGGGAAAGGGTCAGATGTCCCTGCAGCCTGACTATTGCCCACGTGTTACCACACACGCCCAGGAGAGCCGAGACCCCAGGGCACCAACCCCTCCCTGTTCTGAGGGGACTTTGCCTTTCCCAGGAGTGGCATGATGCTAGCCCTGCGGCAACATGGCCAGGCAGAGGGCCCATGGCCCCGAGCACTGTGCCCACTTCCCATCTGGGTGCCAAGGACACAACGGCAGAGTTGGCATCCTTACTCCCCTGGATTTTTCTGGAGCTTACTGCCCCAGCATCTCTCTGGTCTTGTGGTTTGTTCTTTCAGCCATTTCCTCCTTGGTCCACCCGGCCACCCGTCCATCTCACAGGGACAGGGCACTTCCTGAGTTCAAGAAATGAGGCCTGGCCCCAGCCTGTGCGCTGAAGAGCACATCCCAGCACACGGCCCGCAGTCAAGCCGCACCTGCAGCCCTTCCAGCTTCTCCTGGAAGTTGTTCTGATCCATGATCTGGATCTTGCGGAACTTCTCCTCTTCCTCGATGTGCTGCTGCCGCACCATCTCCACCTGCCCGAGGATCTTAGAGGGCCAGTAGCTGGCAGCCCACCTAGCCAGGCAGGGAATGGGAGCAAACACAGCACAGCTGAAATGGGGGGCTGCCAGGCCAGGCAGGGGGCACAGAGGGAATCCAGACTGGGGCTGGGCAGCGGCAAAGTCCACATGATCTGAGAGTACACAGCCAGTACTGGGGAGGCCGCCCTGACCCGCCCCCGGGATGTCCTGTGAGCTGCAGATCCAGGGCAGCGGGGATGAGAGGGGTGTGCTTGAGTTCCCTTTGTAAGCCCTGAGCCTGGAGGGCCCCACCTCAGACGAGGCCACAACAGGCTCCAGCCTGCACCTCCTCAGTGACCAGTCAGGGCCACTTCCTTTGTCTCAGACCCTCTCCCTCTGCCCAGCTGACATGGGAGATGTAGGGGTGCTATGGAATTCAGGGCTTCCACCTGTAGCTGGCCCAGGGAAACTGACCCTGGAAGAGGACCCCCTAGAGCAGAGGACAGCCTGATACCCTGCAGGCCCCTCCTACCACCATCTGTAAGGCAGGGCTGAACCAGGGGCCTCTGGAAGTCTCTACAACGCTTGGTAGAAGAGGGCCCTTGAGAACTGGGTGGAGACAAGTGCACCTCTCCGGTGACTGCCCACCAGAATGGTTTTGCCTCCTTTCAATGCTCTCAAGGATCCCAGGCGCCAACAGGGGAGCCCAGGCCCAGGGCAAACATGTGTCTCAGGCTGTCGATGGGACAGAGCCAAGGTCGGGGGAACAGCCAGGTCCACTTGACTTCCTACTGCCTCTTGGGTGGCCTGGTCCCAGCCGTGGGGAAACCATGGCCTCTGACATCTTGGTCTGGCCCTTCTACACAGCCTGCAGCAGCTGGTACCTTGAGAAACCCCTGCAACTAAGGACTGCCACCCTCACCCTCTGCCACCCATCCAGCCACTTGGCGTGGGGCCCCAAGCTCTGCTCACTTGTCATTGAAGTCATCCGTGTTGAGGTTGTAAAGGAATTCATCCATGATCTGGTAGTCATCCATGACCTTCACAATCCGCTCCTGCAGGCACAGGTGCAACGAGAATGGCATGCAGGCCAGGCCAGGAGGAAACTGGGACCAGGCTCTCCAAAGCAGCGGGGTACTAGGAAGGGGCTGCCTGCTTTCAAAGAAGGGAGGGCTGGGGCAGGCAGGAGGTGCAGGGCTCAAGGCCAGCATCAGGCTCAAGGCTCCAAGGGCGATGGCCACTACACCTTTGACTTCTAATCCCTAAACCCACTCCTTCTGCCCCCTGACCTCCCAACAGCATAATTCAGAACCTCGGGCTGTGCCCCCAGCTCAGAGCCCCCCATCTACCTCACATCCTCCCTCCTGGGTCCCAATCCAATCCCATTCCCTGCCTGCCATAGCCCCCAGCTCCCAGCTCCTATATGCCCGCCTCATCTACATCCCCCCACACCTGTGTGCACACCTCAGCCCCAGCCCCCACACCTGTGTGCCTGCCTCACCAATAGCCCCCGGCTCCTGTGTGCCAACCTCACCTCCAGCCCCCTGCACCTGTGTGCCCACCTCACCTCCAGCCCCCGCCCCTGTGTGCCCGCCTCACCTCCAGCCCCCTGCACCTGTGTGCCAATCTCATCTCCAGCCCCCTGCACCTGTGTGCCAACCTCACCTCCAGCCCCCGCCCCTGTGTGCCTGCCTCACCTCCAGCTCCCTGCACCTGTGTGCCCACTGCACCTCCAGCCCCCGCCCCTGTGTGCCCGCCTCACCTCCAGCCCCCTGCCCCTGTGTGCCCACCTCACCTCCAGCCCCCCACCCCTGTGTGCCCGCTTCAACTCCAGCTCCAGCCCCCCACCCTGTGTGCCCACCTCACCTCCAGCCCCACAAGCTGCTCAGGGATGCCCTTCATCCACTCCCGGAGCTCAGCCAGCTCCTCGATGCTGTTGGGCTTCTCATAGATCTTGCGGCTAATGCTGCGGAACACCTCACAGATCTGGCAGTGAGAGCAGCGCACTGAGGGTGTGAGCACTCCTCCCCTGCCTTCCCTGGGGCCTGATCCTCCTCCTCAGGCCCCACTTCAACAGGCAACCACCCCCTCCACCACCACATACACACACACGTGGTGCTTTCCAAGAGAGGTGCCCCTGGCAGGCTCCCAGGGGTGCAGAGGACCCATCTGAAGCAAGGGTGTATGTCACCTCCTAGCCACCTCCAGCCCTGCGTACACACGCAGGACCCCTGAGGCCTGCACCTGCACAAGATGCACCTCAGGGTGCCTTTTGGGTAGCCCTCCTAGGTCTCCCAAAGTCAGGGGAAGGAGGCAGCCCCTCCCACGTGGGACAGCTCCTCTCGGGTGAGCAGAGACCAATGCGGACTTAAGGTTCCTTCTGCTGGCCGAGCCCCGCGGATACCCGGCCGTGCTGGGGACGTCTCAGGAGCCGGCTGTGCGTGAGGGTACGCGCGCTGCTGGCACTCACGCTGTCCACCTCCTTGTGCAGATTCTTGGCCAGGATGTCCAGCATGGAAGTGGCCAGGGCTTTGAGCTTCTTGGACAGGCTCTTCTTGACGTTGTTGACGTTGATGTAGAAGGGCCCGATGACGATGCTGCTGGGCAGACAGTTGTCCAGGATGTCCTTCTCCTTCAGGTGGTTCAGCACCGCCTCCCGCACCTCCTGGGCTGAAGGCATGCGTGTCTGGTAGGCCCTGAGGACAGCAGCCACAGGTACGGAAACAAACGGTGAGCGGGCGGGGGACGCACGCGCAGACGCCCGGGCACACCCGGCCATGTGGCACGCACTTGAGGAAGGAGGCAATGTCATTGTTGTTCAGTTCCAAGTACTTCCCGTATTCCGCGGCGTAGGCCTGCAGTGGGATCGTGGCCTTGCGGATAGCGTTGGCAATGGTGGCCCGCAGCTCCTCCACCAGCGGCTCGTGCAGCCCCACGGACTCCAGCAGCGGGTCTCCACTGATGAAGATGTCCTCCATCACCAGCTGCACGGGAGCCGAGAAGGGGCCGGGCCAGGTGAGCCACAGGGCAGGCAGATGGGGGCGGGGGTTCCTCCACAGAGCAAAGAGGGGCAGGATGCAGCCCAGAGACTGGGTGGGGGGCAGCGTGGCCCAGCCCAGGAGTGTGGTGTGGGGCATGGCATGGGGCTTGCTGTGCTGTCTTTTAGATGCTGGCACAGACCTTCAAAGCCAGAAGCTGCCATGAGGCCCACCAAGGGGCAGTGTCTGCCTTTGCCTGGGCCTGACTCAGCCCACTGCTGAGAAAAGTAGCAGAGGGGGAACTGGGTCTCTGATGGCGCTGTCTGACCAGCAAGGGAGAGAACAGGGGACCGGAGTTATCCGGGCTCTTTGGCCTAAGGGGCATGGGCTGTGCATAGTGACAGTGATTCGCAGAACCTCTGATCCCCGCTGTGTCAGGCGGCTGCCTCAGAGAGAGGCCAGGAGCTGGGTGGGGGCCAGCAAGCGTGGGATTGCAATCACAGGGCTGACACTCGGGACCTGGAGGACCTGAGGCTCACAACTGCACTCCTGCAAGTCTCCAGAGCAGGGATGGTAATGGTTTACAGGTCAGCTAGGGGCAAGGCGCCAATGAGCTAACAGAATTACAGGGCCGCACACGCTGCCCACCGGCTAGGAGGCCGCGATGGGCTCTGACTGCCCTGATGTTTACAGCAGTGCTCCAGGCCCCACACACACTGTGGCCAGTACCTTCTCCAGCTGGGGCACGGCGTGGGTGGCCAGGATGCCCTTGTCAAAGAGGTTGAGCAGAGACGTCTCGAACTGCTCCAGCGGTGTGCTATAGTGCACCCCTGAGCTGTCTAGCACCAGGTCCACGACAAACAAGGGGTTCTTCCGGGGCCTGCAGGGACAATGGCTGGCCTGACCGCGGGCAGGGGTCTGTAGAGACCCGTGTGCTTCTCCAGGCATGGCCTTTAGAAACCTCCAAAGGACCAGAGAGAAAGGCCTGGCCCAAGCATGTTCTACTGCCCCTGCCCTATGCCCAAGAGTCCCTCAGGTACCACAGGAAAGGAGGGCCTACCCTGTCCTGAGTCATCAGAGCGGGTCAGCCAGACCCCAGGCCCCCGTTGCCCCACCCTCCCTGGAGGTATCATCCTTGACCTCAGAGGTACACCATGTGTGACCCCCACCCCTGGATCTAGCAGGGCCTCTGCCAGCTCTGATCACAGGGAGAACAGTCAGGGCAGGAGACCCTGCGTAGCCCACCCCCACCCCGTGACCCCGCCTGCTTCACCCCAACCAGGCCTCCCAGCCCTTCCCGATCCCAGCCAGACCTGCCGGCCTCTCCTTCCTGACTGCTGCCCTCACCCCTGTCTCCACAGCCCCCCTCAGTGCTCCTGCACATGTTGGTCCCTCCAACAACTGCACCTTCCCACTTCTCAGGTCTCAGCTCCCATGCTACTTCCTCCCAAACCCCTCACCAAGGCCCACCACCAGTGTCTACCACAGCCCCTGCACAGGTCGGCAATGACTCTAAGGACAGGCTTGTCTGTCTCCCCATGAGAGCAGGAGCCACATCCCTCTGCTTCCCTTACAGCTGTGCCTGAATCACAGCACGTGCTCAGAGAATATTCCTCCGAGCAGTGGGCAGGATACGTCCCACGTCAGAGTGCCTGGGCTTGAGTCCAGGCGCTACGCCCAATTCCAGCTCCCTGCTAATGTGCACCCTGGAAGGCAACAGATGATGGCTCAAGTGACTGGACTCCAGCCAGCCATGTGGGAGACCTGCATGGAGTTCCTAGTCCAGCCCCAACCGTCACAGGCATCTGGGGAGTGAACCAGATGGGAATCAACCTCTCTCTCTCTCTCTCTGTGTCCGGCCCTGGCTGCCCGGGCCCACCTGTAGGGGCTGTTTATCAAGTCCTCGCCCCAGACCATGTCGTCGGCGCAGTCGAGCACGCTGTAGCAGGCGTCGCTGATGAACTGCGAGAAGCTGGTGAGCGAGTCCTGCACCAGGAAGCGCAGCGTGTCCTGCAGCATGTACTTGATCAGCTCCATCAGCTTGCGCAGCTTCGACATGAGGTACACCTCCCAGTTGGTCTCGTACAGGTTGTACCAGCCCTTGCTCATGTCGCGCAGGCTGCTGCGCATGGCCACCTTCAGCGTGCTGATCCAGCTGTCCTTGAGGAACATCTGCACCTGCACAGGCCACAGGCGTCATCACACGGCCACCAGGGACCCATGCCGGGGAACTCCACGCAGCACTGGGCTGCTTGGGCCGGCCGCAGCGGAGCCTCCCCCACGGTGACCCCAGGGGCCCAGGGCCGTTCAGGGGGAGGGAGGAGCAGCAGCAGAGAGGAGACACAGGAGAGGAGAGAGACAGAATGAAGCGGAGGGAGGCTGCGCCCCACCTCCCTCACAGCCCAACCTCAGGTCGTGACAGGAAGGGGGACCTGCCCTGGTTTTCCTTTTCTTGCCATGATGAACCATCACCCTAGGCCCCCAACCCAGCCTCCAGTGGGGTCTAGGAAATGGCTGAGGCCTGGTTTGCGATAAACAGGGGCTCACGGCCTCCCTGCATAGCCCACACTTCCCCGCAGTCTGTGATGTGTGCCTCCAGCTCCAAGGGCCCACCCTGCACCTGCCCATCTGCTCCCAGGTACCTGGGAGAAGGTCTGTGACTGGATCTGCTCGAACTCCTCCAGGCGGCTGGACTTAGACAGGGTTGAGTGGAACAAGGACATGGCGGTCACCTTGTTGCACTCGGCCCGCACCTTGCTCAGGGCTGTGATGACCTCCGGCCGGGTGAGCAGGGATACAAAGGTGAAGTCTTCCTTCTGCTCCCAGAAGGGATACTCAGGGACACTCACCAGCCCTGCATGGGTGGGGCCAAGAGACAGCATCAGACCCGCCTGGGACACAGCAGGGGTCAGCAGGAGCCACAGTGTGCTTGATGGAGGGACAAGCCTCCTGCTTCCTCCCGGAAGGAGATGCCTACTTTCCCACAGCCTGTCCCAGTGACCCCAAGGCCTCCCAGCGATCTGGGTAAAGGAGCTCCCTCCAGCTCCCTCCCTGGCCACAGACTCCCTTGGAAAACGGTGAGAACTGTGGACTCCCTCCCCGCACTGCACACCACCCTGAGACCTGTCTGGAGCTGCTGTGCAGACCCAGGAAGGATGATGTGGGCACCAAGTCCCTGGGAATGCCTGCTGCCCACGTCCCAGCCTGTGTTCTGGACACAGCACATACGACAGGTTTTCAAAAAGTTCGTGGAAATGTGCATTATTTTTTCATCCTGCTATTCCTTTTCCATGAATCTTTGAGGCTCCCCTCATACAGAAGCTGGGACCAGGAAACAAAGTTAGCAGGGACCGGTGAGCTCAGAGCATGGAGGGCTCTGGGGAACCCAGGGTCCTGCGCTGAGACTCAGTCTGCCACATGTCAAACAGGGCCGCAGCAGTGGCCGCCATACTCTTGCTACTGCAGGAAGAAAATCTATAAATCCTCCACCAGCCCCTCTGTGTTCTGGACGACTGCTTTCCTAGTGCACCTTGTCCCTGACACTTCTGTGCCGAAATTCATAAAAAAGAGAGGCTCCTCCCCCTCCCCTGACCCAGAGCCCTCCGGACAGCTGGGGAAACAAGGGCACAGATGCTGGGGACACGGGAGGGACAGGCTGAGGATGCACCTGGTGGCCAGAACAGGTGGTCCTGGAGGAAAAGACGGGAGGGGGCTCTGGCTGGGTGGACGGCCCTCACCTCGCTCAGGCACCTTCTCCTCCTCCTTCTTGGGCAGGGTCACGTAGTGGAACGTGTCGGGCTTGGAGGCGACGACCCGGTCAAAGATGGTCTTATTCATGCTCCGCTCGTAGTCTAGGCTCACTTCCTTGGCCAGTCTGTTGAGGTACTCTAGAACCCTGCCCACAGAGCCAGGAGATGAGCAGTCAAGGGCACACCCTGCAGACCTAGTCTAGGCTGGGTTCTGGCAGGCACCTGGGGATGCGAGCCTGGGGCTCCCCCTGGACTCACAAAGGCACGTCCCCCTGGCCCTGAGTCACTAGCCTCCATCACCCTCGCTCCTTGTCCCACTTCCCAATGTCACCCTAGTGTAGCCCATCCTCCACACCCTGGGCCCTCACCCCGCCCTGCCCACGCCACTGCATGGTCCGCAGAAACTCAGATCGGGCCCCACCTCCTCCTGCTTTGAGCTTGTCCTGGCTGCTCCACATCTCAAGGTGAAGCCTGATCTCTCTGTGGGACCCGAGACGCCCTTCTGGCTGCCCCCTCCCCGCCATCCTCGCAGGCCACGCTCTGTTCCCAGCCCTGCCACAGGCAACCCCCAAGTTCTGGGAGGCATGGGGTCCTCACTCACTCAGAACCTCTGTATATGCATTTCTCTCTGGTGGCCACACTCTGACCCACTCAGGCCACCCTCTGCCCCAGCAGCCTGGGCCATGCCCTCGGGCTTCTGTCCCCAGCACAGTCTCCCTCCGCTGGGAGAAGGCCGGCCCTGCTCCTTCTCCCAAAGTGCACCTCCGATACTGCTCAGCGGCTGCTCCCTACTGGACAGCGAGTGCAGAGGGAGGGATGGCAGAGGGGACTGGGGCCCCGCTGGTGGTCATTTCTACAGGGCCTTGCAGAACCCAGAGTTCCTAGGCATGCCCAGGACACAGATCCTGAGCACACGCAGGACCAAGTGATGGAAAGCCTGTCCATGGATCAGAACCCACATGACCAAGCAGCAAGATCCCTACCAGGCAGGCACCCCTGCACTGGCCCCAGGGTGCCCTTCACCCAGCATCTTACCTGCCTGGGGCTCTCGTCTGTGCTTCTCTGCTTCCCAGCCCAGCAGGCCAAGTCAAGTGCACTTCCCCCAGGAAGCCATCCCTGATTTCCCCTCCTGCCTTCCAACTTTGGTTACCCTCCTCGTCCTCCCCTCCTTGGTTAGCACAGTCCAGTCAGGAGGTGGAGGCAGGCAGCACAAAGTGTGAGGCTGGGAACTGACTGACAGGCATTTGTGGGCCAAGTGGCTCAACCCTCTGTACCCCAGGTTACTCCTGGGGAAGTCAGGGGCTGATGGCATCTGTCTGGAGGGGTGACGGGGCTGAGCCAGGAAGACCTTGAGCCCAGGGCCTGGTGCCCAGACAGTGTCCATGGGGCAACTGTTGAGTAAATGCGTTGAGGCAGTGACAATCAAGGAATCAGCTTTGAACACCCAGAGAAGCCTCTGCTCCCCCAAACTGGTTGCTCCTTCTCCTCCAGCCTGAACACTGGCCTCCGCAGCTCATCCCTGCTTGGTTCTATTTTCGGTGCCGGTGCCTGGGAGCCAAGAGCAGGACCCAGAGAAGCAGGGCAGGGGGCAGGGACCAAGGAGCACCAGTGAGCTGGATCAATGCTCGTACCCCACCCCAGCCCTGGGACTCAGGGCTCAGGGCTCAGAGGAGGACGCCCATCACGGAGCTCCCCCGTGTTCATCCCATCAATGTTTACTGGGTGCCTGCGGTGAGGGGCACTTGGAAGATGCTAAGAACTCTGGATGTGCAAAGTGGCTGCTTCCTGTGATGCTGGCATCCCATATGGGTGCTGGTTCGAGTCCCGGCTGCTCCTCTTCTGATCCAGCTCTCTGCTACGGCCTGAGAAAGCAGTAGAAGATGGCCCAAGTGCTTGGGCCCCAGCACCCACGTGGAAGGCCTGGAAGAAGCTCCTGGTTCCTGGCTTTGGATCGGCACAGCTCTGGCCGTTAAGCCCAACTGGGGAGTGAACCAACAGATGGAAGACCTCTCTCTGCCTCTCCTTCTCTCTCTGTGTAACTCTTTCAAATAAATAAATAAATCTTTAAAAAAAAAAAAAAAAACCAAGCCCCTGGTTCTGTCTCCTGCGGGGCCATTCATGTGCAAAGTCTGCCCTTGACCAGGCTGAGCTAGATTTCTCCTAAAACCACATTGCTGCCCATTGCTTGGCCATGATAGTCTGCTTCCTTTACTCCCCATACATTTATTTCCCTGACAGACTTCAGCAAGAATCCCCAAGTTCAGGTTTGCCTCTAGGGAACCCCATCTGAGACTGAGACAGAACTCAGCGGATGCCAGACCTTGTGCGCCTGAAACTGCTGCTGCCATCTCGCCTGTGAATGAAGCCAGCACACCCTGGAGACAGCCTGGATGCAGCAGGCCCACGACGCCCTGCTCAGACTCTGCTCAGACTCCTCACGGGTGCAGCCATGCATTTTGCTGCTCTCTGAGCCATTCTGAGCCCTGCACCTTTTATTCTTAAAGCCAAAAACATTCTAGATGGCCCAAAACCCAAGAGATGGAATTCTCGACAGCTAAGGGAAGGTGGCTACAGCAATTCAAAGCATCAGGCAAGGCGGGGAGGGAAAGAAGGAGGGAAGGAAATGCAGGCAAACAGAATACATCGTACAACCCAAATCCACACCTGTAACACAGCCAGGAGAGAGACAAAGGCTAAATGTCAAACTATCTTTAAGTACAAACACAAACATGAACCCCGGTGAGCTCTCCTACATTCTGGCTTCAGGTCTTCCTGGAGAACAGGGCAGTCTAAGGAAAACCATGGAGAAGGGTTACAGGTGGCCCTGACAGGCCTAAAAATCCCCCTGCCAGGAAAAGACAGTGCACCCTAGCTGCAAAAATACCCAAGGCAAGGACAGGAAAATCTCAGCACTTACTGCGAGGCAGGGACGCAGGTGTAACTGGAGGCAGGGTTCTCTGAAACAAACTACTCACAGGAGGAACGGGAAAAGGAAAAAGATCAGAGGGTGAGGGGAAATGTGAGCCCTGCAAAGTAAGAGACAACTGGGAGAGACACACAGCCCTTTTCTCCAACACACACACACATGCACACGTGCACATGCACACACGCACATGCACACACACGCACACGCATGCACACGCACACACACGCACATGCACACGCACAGCCATTTGAAACCCTGGGCTGCTACACTGACAGAAGAGGGCGCCAGGGAACCAGGAATCTTGCAAATCATCCCAAATCTGTGAGTTTAGTGAAAGCAGAATACACTGATATAAGATTTGTATTTTTTTTTCTTAAGAAAGAGAGAAGTAGAATCTTAGCAGTTAAAAATTCCTACCTACTGCTCAAAAAATAAATAATAAAATAAAAGTTTAATACAGCTCTTCAGTCAACTAAACATCCTGACACTGGTGCCTATGAAAAAAAAAACTATCTGAAATTCAAAAATATAACACAGAAATGAACAATTAACAGGATAAAATGAGATTTAATTGAACTCAGAGAAAAAAATGGAAGACACAGATTATCCCAGGGAGGAAGGTTAAATTACAAAGTGCTCAAGAGAAAACAGAGCCAAAACTGTATCAAGGATATTGAAGAAAGGGAGAGATATAACCAAAAGAACGAAAATGGGAAAGAACTAGAAAGAGTCCTAAAGTGGCTGAATTCTAAGGCACAGAAGCAGAACAGACGGCTCCATAAAGGTCACACAAAATGTGCAATGAAAAATCTGCGTGGATCTCAAAACTCTTCTGTGTCAAAATGAACTTACGTTTTAATTTCATTTTCCACAAAATTTTAAGTGCCCTCATACATACACAGACGTAGATTTATAATAGAATCTCTGGTGAAGAAAACAAAACAATGGAACAGAACTAATATTTGAAACTCTAATTCAAGGGGCCAGTGAAGGTTAAGCCTCTGCCTGCAGCACTGGCATCCCAGGTGCTCAAGTCCCAGGTGCTCCACTTCTGACCCAGCTCCCTGGGAAAGCAGCAGAAGAGGTGCTATGTGCTTGGGCCCCTGCACCCATTTGGGAGACCCCAATGAAGCTCCTGGCCCAGCCTTGGCCATTGCCAAGATTGGAGGAGTGAACCCATAGATGGAAGATCTCTCTGTGTGTTTCTCTTTCACTCTGAATTTCAAATAAATAGATTCTTTTTCAGATAGAAAAGTGTAAACTAAGGAGTTCCATGCAGCTGGGCTGCACTTCGAGTGTGAACCGGGCGGGAAGTGAAGGAGCTCTGCACTCTTCACAAGGGATCCGCAGGAAAGGAGCTTCATCTGACCAAGAAAGACACGGGGAAAAGCCCAAAACATTTCATAGCCATTGTAAGCTTTAGCCTAAAACAAATATAGAGATAAGAGTGGAAGAATTTTATGTTAGAATATTAAATAGAGGGGCTGGCGCTGTGGCGTAGCAGGTGACGCCTCCACCTGCAGTGCTGGCATCCCATATGGGCGCCAGTTTGTCCCGGCTGCTCCTCTTCCAATCCAGCTCTCTGCTATGGCCTGGGAAAGCAGTGGAAGATGGCCCAAGTCTTTGGCCCCTGCACTCGCACGGGAGACCTGGAGGAAGCTCCTGGCTCCCGGCTTCGGATCAGTACAGCTCCGGCCATTGTGGCCATCTGGGGAGTGAACCAGCAGATGGAAGACCTCTCTCTCTCTCTCCCTCTCTCTCTCTCTCTCTCTCTCTCTCTCGCTGCCTCGCTGCCTCTCTGCCTCTCTTTCTCTCTCTCTGTAACTCTTTCAAATAAATAAATCTTTTAAAAAAAGAATATTAAGCAGAAAAAAAGCAACTGAAAATGGAAGGAGGAACAGACAAGCAGAGTGAAATAGGATGAGTGAGGATTATAGCACAGCAATAATAGGAAGCAGCTAGAGGATACTGTCAAAAATGGACAAACCAGGAGCGGGCATCTGGCTCCATGGGTAAGATGCTGTCATCCTGCCCAGCGGTACCTCAGTTCATATTCAGGTCCTGCTTCTGACCCCAGATTCCCGCTAATGCAGACCTTGGGAGGCTGCAGTGATGGCCCAAGCAGCTGGGTCCCTGCCATCCACATGGAAAACCCAGACACATTACCTGACTTCCAGCTTCAGCCTGGCCCAGCCCTGGCTGTTGCAGGCATTTGGGAGT